TTGGCTTTTTTCACTTACGTTTTCAAGACTTGCATATACTAAAAATTAATCAATGCTCATGGTTGAAAACCATTCCATTTTATGGATATACCACATTTTCCATTCATCAGTTGACAGATAATTGCATTGTTTTCACTTTTTAGTTATTATCAATAATGCTGCTATGAACATTTCTGGGTAAGGTCTTTATGATGTATATTTTCCTCTCTCCTGAGCATAAGACTAGGAATGGGATCACTGGAGTTCCTATAAATCACAGAAAGAAAGAAATGTTGGTGCCAGTATTTGGTGAGAACTGTTCCAGAGCCTCTGGCTAGATGGTTTTAAGGTGACGCATAGTGCTGCTAACAGGAAAGACCATGTACAGGCAAAGTGAGTAGGTTAGAGATGGTATAAACTAGACTCTTGGGTCTGTAGTGCATCAGTTTCAGTATCACTGTGAAACCCGTCACAAATTTTAATGTGGTACCTTGAAGAAATCAAGCATAAGACTCAGCAAATAACTAAGTGTAATATCTTGAAAAAAAAAAAAAAAACAAGCATCAGATGAAAATGTATGTTTATAGCTCATTGGATTTCCATTAGTGGTAAGTAGATTTTAGGAAAAGCACTGTCACAGAATCACAAATGGTGAGGCTGCAGTAATGGCTGGAAATACTGGAGAATTCTGAATCTGTTGGAAGAGTAAGCATACAATTTGGGGGAAGAGGCCTATAGGAATCATGAAACTTTATTACGGTGTAACCTGTTTCTTAACTCCAGAGAAAATGAAAGTGTTGAGGCAGAAACATGGGTGCAATTATACTCTGAATTAAGTGAAATTTTTCAGCAGAAGTTGAACTGATAGTTTTGATACTGTGCAGTTTCCAAGTATGCTCTTCTCCAAAAGAGCAATTTTAGATTAAGATTACTTCATCTATATGCCTAGTATTAAGGATGAGTAATTGTTTTAAATAGTAGTCTCTTTTTTAAAGAGAACTATTTAATTAATTATTATTATTTTACATTTTGACCAGAGAGAGGGAAAATGAGAAAGCAAGCCACCAGGTCTGGGACTCAAACCTCCATGCCACCTGCCAGCCCGCCCCCCAAATGGTGAGCCCTTAATTTTCCTTGGGAACTGTTGTTTTTGTCTTATGGACATTTTTGTTATGTTGGTATTATCAAATTTCTATTAAAATTTAACTTTACACTTAGCTGGGTAACACAATTAGCTCCAAGCCTTTATAAATTAGTTGCCAAAATCTACTTGTAAAACACTCAATCATCCCCAGATGTTTCATGCATAAGGAGGACACATTATTCCTTTTCTTTTTCTTTCCCTTGCTTTCTTCCTTTCTTCTTTGCTTTTCCCCTTTTACATTATTTTAAGACCGGGTCCCATTAGGACACGATCCTCCTGCTTTGGCCTCCCAAGTCACTGGACTACACAAGACGCCATCACTGCCAGCTCTTTTGTAGACAGGATCTAGCTATTGATATGCTGCCAACCATCCTTGAGTTCGTCATCCTCCTGCCCCAGCCTCCCAAGTCGCTGCAATTATGACTGCCACCACGCCCAGCCTTTAGGCTGGGCCAGGATGGAACCCGGACCTCCCATGTGGTCCCAGCATGAGGAGCACAACGTCTTCGCAGCCCACACCGCCACAACTGGGCCGACACATTATTCCTTACGTAGCGTAGTACGTGAGTGTATTCTCTCCTGTAGTGCACAAAAAAGACGCTTGAGCATACATGAAAGACTTCTTAAAGTGTCGAGCACGTTCTTAATTAACCGTGCCCGCCGATCTTCCATCTCCACCCCAGAGAATTTTAACCAGAGCAAAGTTGGAATTAGGGTCTGGATTCCTTCCAGTCGGCACAACATTCCTGGACCACTTCTCTTCAAGTCCAGTGACAAGTTCATCAGATTCACATCAAAATTATGTAGACAAAAACCCTGGAGAAAGAAATTTGCGGCTCTCTTTTCCAAATATAATGTATCCCAGAGAAAACCAAAAAGTTGTTCATTTAATAATGTACATAAAAGCCTTTGTTAAAGTGTAAATGACAAGTTTTATTTCAACGGTAATCATCCTCATCACACACATAGCATGCACCCTAAAGCAGTCTGAGAGACCTTTCACATTCTATTTGGGGTGACACGTATCATTGCCCTACACCAGAACCTAGATTATAACTAGCAAGCCACCATAAACAGATTTTTGTAAATAAGTTACGTCCTAAGGCAGAATGGAATAAGAAGAAAATGCTCAACTAATATTCATCTACAGAAATATCTCCCAGTTATGAATTAATTAGTATGCTTGAAATATAGTAGCATCCTCTTAAATATTTTGGTTTTATTGGGTAAAAAAATCTGAAAAAAAATTTGCAACTGTGAAAAGGCACATTTTTGAGACACCACCTAAGCATTTCCCTGAGAACCTAAGAAATGTTACACAGTGAAACACCACAGCCTCTGGAAGAGTCAGCATCCACGAAATACATCAGAGGCTGCGGTTTCTTAAAGACTAAAAGAAAAATCTGTGGGTTTTTAAGTGGAAAAGCAAGACCAGCTGAGAACTTGCCCTGAGGAGGAGATGAGAAATGATAGGATTGCCCTACCCCAAAATATGGCTGACTCTCTAAAATCTCTAGAATTTTTTTCATTTTATTTGGAAACACTGCCAGTCTCCATGAATGAGTCAGTGGGTTACGAGGCCTTCTCTTATAAAAATGCAGTGGCAGCATTTGGTGCTGACTGCACAGTGCCGGGATCAGGAATCTCAGAGGTGGGGAGGATCACAAGTCGTCCATTCTTTCTGCGAAGAATCCTGATTAGATCGCTTCCTTCTCAACACTGCAAGATACCAGCTGTACTAGAAAATGGAACTACGGGAACGGATACTTTATATCATTCCAGAAATACAACCAAAAGGTGATGCTTTACGGCTACATATTAAGGCTACCTTGATTAACTGAAATGTGTCTAAGCAACAAAGCCATTTTTGCAAAAAGTAATATATGTTACTCACTACTGTCATCTCAAGACATTCAAAATGGTATCTTAAAATGTATTGCTATTGCTATTGCTATTGTTCTATTGCAGGACAGATTATTGCTCAAACTGCCAATTTTAAAAACGTCAAGGAGTTCTCACTTTTGTGTTATCTTTTAAACAAGGCAACATTGGAATAAAGACTTTTAAAATTAAACTCTTCTTCTGGGTTAAAAGTGAAATTTATTACAATACAATAAGTGCAAGTGTCATTATTAAAATGCAGATTAAAATGATAAAGTATCTAAATAATTTTTCTAATATAAATAGTGGGAATAACAGCTTTAATAATTCCATATGTACACAGAACATCAAAAACATGAAACCATGCACAAGGCCAAAAAAAGTAATGTCAGATATTAAACCTGTATGCATTTATTTTATCTTCTGGTTCCAGTTTGTGAGGTGCTAACCAATCACTCAGCTCACAAACCTCAAGGGTTAAGTGTTTTGAACGTATGTCAGTTATCGTACATTAACGATAATTAAAAACCATTGGTTATATTCTGATCAAGTAGTGCTATTTCATGTATTTCCCTTTTTTAGAAGGTCTTAAAACAGATGGGCTAGAAAAACTGTGATTACAGGATCCAACATGACATATATTCCCAATGATTTATTTAAAGGAGGCATAAAATTGTGTGTGTGTGTATGTATAAAATTTCCAGAACATGGGACCAGCAGTTAGCGTAATGGCTATGTCGCTGGACTCCCATGTAGCCAACCGCAGTTCGAGTCTTGGACCCGGTGACTTAAACTCACGCCAGGCACATGTGCATGCGTGCCCAAGATCCCAGGAGGAGAATGGAGGAGAAGGGACTGCGGCATGGCCATCCCCCCGGGGGGTGATTTCTCGCTTTCTGTCTCTCTGTCTCTCTCTGTCTTTCTGGTGAGTGCAAGTGCCCTATAGCAAAAACCTCTTAAAAAAAAAACCCTCCAGAACATGGAAGATAATATCAATGTGGCTACACTCTGCTTACTTGGCTCCCATATCTCTTTATAAAAGACAGCCAGTGCCTTCAAGAAGTAACAGCAATTCATAACCACTGAGAAATGGGAGTGGCATTAGGAAGGAGCTAAAAAGAAGGGCCGGATTATAGAGAGAAATTTAAAAATATTACCTATCTCTTCTTCCCTCCTTTCTGCTAAAGTAGGAACTGGTTCCTCCCTCAAAAGCATCCCAGGGGGGTTCTTGGGTTATTTAATGCCTCCAGCACTCTGAAAACAGCTACTGCCTTACAGGCAATACGAAGGCATATCTCTTCCCTACTGAGAGAACACTTTTCACAAATTTGAGGAATAGCTCATATATTACAGGTTCTTGCTGACACCAAAGAGAGTCTGAAATCATCTTCAACATGACAACAGGTGAGATTTCTTTTACAAATGGGGAGGTAATACCCAGAGAGGTTAAGCAGTTCAGCCAAGAGGAGGACAAGGAGGCTAGGTGTGATGCTCTTTGACAATGCGTCTCACACGGCACTATGTATACGTTTCCTTGAGATTTCATCAAAATGCACTGGGTCTGGAACCTCAGATTCTGTGTTTCTAATCAGCTCCCAGGAGTTGCAACACCCCTGGTCTGTGGGCCATGCTTTGAATAGCTTGGGTCTACAATACACAGAGGGAGCCATCTCTATCTTTCTGGGCCACAGGAGATCAGGTCCAGTGTTTTCTGCCCACCGTACATTTCCAGGCAAAAGGTTTAGACACACTGCGTCTGTGAGCAGCGGTCTCCTACACTGCTGGTACATTTTCTGAGAGCACCGTGACTACATGATCAGCTGAACAGGTAATGCAACATAATTGAACTTGAGTACATGGAGAAGTCTATTGGTTGGGAATAAAATGAATCTATGACTCAGGAAGTCTTCCACAAAGTGAACATGATATAAAGGTATAAAAAACCAGCATATTAAATCCATAGTAAAATGCCACAAGTGCACACATATACACAGGATGAGTTCTAAGAAATTCAATGCACTCTCTCCGAATAAAGTGCTACCATTGCTCCCAGCTAAAATCATCTCCTCTTCCAAATACGAGGAAAAAGCCTTGAATTGTTAGGAAAATGACGGCATTCCCAGCCAGCACAAGGCCACAGGCTCCCCACTTGATCTGAAACACAAAACCAGAAGGATTAAATCCTTACTTTCTTCATATTATACTCTTTGAAAATCTCTGTCATTTTCTGCATTAGGGACATCGAGTGAAATATTACATAAAGCTGCTAAAAGCCTTAATAATGTAACAGGCAGGAGATAGCGAACTATTCAGTAATTAGTCTAATGACTTCCGTGATGCTGGTTAATTAAGTCTACTATCATACTTAACATCTTCCCCATTAGACATATTTCTCTACTTATTTTCAGTCGACAATGATTGCCTTGTGTAAAAGACATGTAGCAAGATTATGAACAGTCTAATTACAAGACAAGGTACTGAAAGTTCTGCGCGTATCAACCTCTTTTATGGAAATAGGAATGAGAGAGTTATGGATCTGTTTGCTTCTTTTCTACACAGGAACAAGAAAAGACTTTAAATAATAATCTGCGTACAAATGAAAGCAGTTTTCCAGCTTGGCAAATGGTTTTACAGAGCCACAGATGGGGATGAGGGTACCCTCTAGTGGACATTTTTTTGTTTTAATTCAACCGATAGAAAAATCAATGAAAATTTCTTCACAAAACCTGATGATAGTGTTGAAAAGGAAAGAATGAAGTATTTACAGCAAAACAGAAGAAGTGTCACTCTATGACACAAGAAGAGTAAGGCCATGCCAATCTTGCATCAAAAAACCCTAATGCTACTCCATGATGCAGACGGAGTTCAAACTGGAATGTGTAGAAGACCCTTGCTAATGAGGCTTCTCCAGTCTTTCCAGCGTTGATCTCAGCTACTCTTTGCTCCGTCATATGGAACTGTTCCTTATTCCGTATACTGCACTGGGTGTATACTTGTCGTATCACACTGGGTGGCATTTCATACAGCAGCCTTCCCTACTCTAATCCAAACATTACTTATCCTCAGAGGTCCACATCAAACATCAGGTGGAATTTCTGGTTTTGGTGCTCCCTTGCCATTCAGCTCATGTGCCAATGATCACATATGGTACATTTATAGTATTCTTACCCATCAGGCTAGTTTCTCTGTTCTTTGGGCATACAGACAGTATCTGGGTCTTATTTTCACTGCTGTGCAAACATCAGGTGTTCCAAAGATACTTACTGAATGAATAAATACGATCTGCACATAACCGATCTCCAACACCCCTAGTAAGGGCTTTATAGAGTTGAAATAAAACAAAGTTGGATAAATAAAAGCAAATACTAGAAAAGATGGTAAACAACAAGGAATTGAATTAAATTATGCCCATAATGTGAATTTTGGAGACAAAAAGAAATATTTTACATTGAATGTGACGATGTCATCTTATTCATCTTCTAGTAGCTACGTGGTTGCCCCTCAATATATGCCTCAAGTATTGAGAATGGATTCTGTGCTCCCATTTGCAAGAGGAGAATTTGATATGATCTTCATTGTGCAAGTATAAAAGTATTGCTATTAGAGTCTCTGTGGATTGCTATAAGGCTTTAGAGACGGGGATTTAAAAACAATTCCTGAGAACAATGAGAAAAAGCCAGAAATCACACACAAAGAGAGTGTCGGAAAACATGTCTGAGATACTGATGAGTAGATCTAGGAGAGGAGAGAAACTCAAACTACATTTGGCTTTGAGTATAAAATCTAAGCAATGACAATGAAATTGAGGTCCCAAACACAGGCCTTTCAAGTAAACTCAGGGACAGTTGAGCAAAACAATATAAAACAAACTTACCACAGCCACACGGGCAAGAATTACAGGAAATCCAAAGGCAGAAACAACAATTCCAGTAGTGAAGAAATATGCCAGTTCCCGACAGGCACTACTGGTTGCATCAGAGTCATATGTGACTCTTTTGGCGATGAAATGGGGGATAGGGGAGATGGCGTGGAAAATCAGGACGAACAAGGGCCAGTAAACGCTGTCAGATTGACCCAGACGAAAGCCAAAGAGAAAAGTCACAGTTACATTTTGAATGAAGGACATATTACTGTTTTAAAATCATTGTCATTTTAGATGTGTAAGTCACACGTTATGTAATTAAAGTTTACTTAATCAGTTGTGAATATTAGAATACAAGATGATTTCTACCAGCAATAGATTAGTGACAATTTTAAAATTACTAGTTCATTCATATGTAGGTAGCATAAAGTGTATTAAGAAATGACTACATGACTATAAGTTAGAAACTTTGTTTCCTATATTACTGAGTGGCCATTTCTCTAAGGACAGAATCCTAACGTAGTCCCCTCTGCATTCCCTATAGGTCATAATACAGTTACTTGCCCATGTTAATTTAATAAAGATCTTTTGAGTGCATGCATGCTTGCTTATAACATTTCAACAGCTTACAATAAACCCCGAATTCCTTTCTTTGGCCTAAAAAGCTTTATATCATCTGGTATTACTTCTTCTATTCGTTTTGTACCATCTTCCCTTCTTTTGCTTAATTTCTAGCCACATCAGCTATTCCTGAAACCTTCTGAGCTCAGACTTCCTTGGGAACTTTGTAATAACCCCTGCTTTGAATGCTCTTCTTGGGATCTTTTCATTAAGCTGGTTCCTTGCTATCATGCAATCTAAACTGAGGGATCTTCTCCCAAAAGTAGCTTTTCCTGACTATCGGTTCTAAAGTCACCCAGGTCACCCTCGAGAACATCACCTTCTCTTAAATTCCGGTACAACCTTTACTCCCATCTGATATCTTCTTATTTATGAGAACATGGATCTGATTTGTCTCGGTCAATGACCATTTATCTCCAGGACCTATAATAACATGCTCCTTTATATGTGTTGATGAATGAATTAAAAAACAAATTTTAAGTAAAGGTGTCATGAAAATAAGTATGTCGCTAATAAATGCTTTAGATGACTCTAGTCTTTATTATAAGTGTTCACAATACTAATGTAATATGAAAAAAAAAAAACAATTTTCTTCCAGAATTGCATATTTTACATTTATTTTTTAAAAGTTCCATCTGGTTTGGGACTAGCAGCTGGCCTAATGGCTATGTCGCTATACTCCCATGTAGTCCACTGCAGTTCAAGTCCCGGACCCGGTGGCTTAAACTCATACTGGGCAAACGTGCATGCGTGCCCAAGATTCTGAGAGGAGAATGGAGGGCAAGGGATTGCAGCATGGCCATCCCCCCTGGGAGGTGATTTCTCACTTTCTGTCTCTGTCTTTCTGGCAAGCATGCATGCCTTATAGCAAAAAAAATCTCTCCAAAGGGGAAAAAAAATGCCATCTGGTTTTAAATTGTGTTTTCCATATAAACACTTCAAAAATAATCCATCATCATTTTCTCCATCAGTTAGACATGTATTATGCTTCATTCCTTAAGAGAAGAACATAGTCTCTACTCATTTTCACATACACACACCACAATAATACTTATCACCACAATAGCGTAATAACAGATCCAGATAGCGCCTCCAAGCAGGGGCTGGGGGTGAAGCCATATAAATGAAAGCTCCCCATTTCAGCCATAGATCTAGTGACCAAAATAAAGGAAGAGAAAGTGCCCTTCATCAGGAGGATACAGAGGCTGTCTCTGTGGCAGAGGTATTGCAATGCTCAAGAGAAGTTAGATCCCACAGGGTGACTCTGGTTCAAACCCTTGGGCTGAATAGCCTGAAACTTCCTGGACATACCTGTGAGTGCTCAAGATCGGCCCAGCTGGAAGACTGGAGAATGGGGATCATGGCATGACCAGACCCTGTGGAGGGTGCTCTCCTCTCTCTCTCTCACACTCACATGCATGCACACACACTCTATCCCAAATAAAGCCAGGGGGAAAGTACAGAGAGAGAGAGCTCAGGATGGAAACACTGAGTTTAGGCTCCTAATTTTAACCTCGAGTGAATGCAGTGCATTTCAAGAAACCACCAAACAACATTCTTGGAAAGAGCTCTTAAGAGAATCTCCAGTTCAAAACCCTTGTTTTACCAGTGAGGAACCAAGATATAGAGAGAGGAAGAAGCCTGAAAAAACCCAGCTGTCATGTGACATGCCCCGGGGCAAGAATTCTTCATTCTGCCTAAAATACAGTGACAGTTTTCTGGAAAACAATCTACAAAACTCATTTCCATTCATATTAAGCCACCAATATCAACTAAGAGAGCAAGTCATGTAGAAGCAACCTTGTTTATATACAAATTTAAATACTGTACTAAATGTACATTATTCAGGAAACATGACAGCCAGAGGTTGACCAACTTTTTCTGTAAAGGGCCAAATGTAAATATCTAGGTATTGCAAGCCATCAGGTCTCATCTCAACTTATCAACTCACAGGCAATAGGCTGCATTTGACCTGTGAGCCTGCTGGCTGACTTTTATAAACAGTAACCCTAGGTCACTATCATAATGGGATAAAAGTAAATTTCTGTAAAATTTTCTGAGAGGATGCGTGAACTCACCAGAGAGACAGGGGATGGTGGTGGGGTGGGTATGAGAAAGCATCCCCATGGGTGATGGTCATACCACAATCCTTTTCTCCTCCATGTCTTTCAAGATTTGGGGCATGCGTACATTCTGTTCTCAAGTTATTTTTCCAGCTCCTATTACCTGAAGTATAAAATCTAACCTCCTCTACATACTTGACCCTACATTCTTAACCAATCCTTCTTTTGCCACTCCCACTACAATGTGTGCTCTACTACATAAGCCATATGTGGTTTCCTGGACAGTCTACATGCTTTCATGCCTCTGGGGCCGTAGCAATGGCTTGCCTAAGGCCTAACAGTCCTTATTCCTCAGCAGTCTCTAAAGCCCGTTTCTTTAAATTCCTAATGTTTCTGCTCACATGTCACTCCAATAGAGAGGCCTTCTCTGTGCATTTTTTTTTTTTTGAGAGGTTTTTGCTACAGGCATGTGCACTTGCCAGAAAGACAGAGAGAGACAGAGAGACAGAAAGTGAGAAATCACCCCCCAGGGGGGGATGGCCACACCACAATCCCTTCTCCTCCATTCTCCTCTTAGGATCTTGGGCATGCACGCACATGTGCCCAGCATGAGTTTAAGCCACCGGGTCCAAGACTCAAACCATGGTTGACTACATGGGAGTCCAGCAACATACCCATTGCACCAACTGACGGTCCCCTCTGTGCATTTTGTAAAATCTTATTGTCTGTCTCCCCCACTAAAATACAGATCTGAGACAGCAGGACTTTTGTTTTCTTATTTCTTAATCCCTAGTTCCCAAAGAGTAATTGCCCCATGGTGAGCACCAAAAAGTTGTTGAATAAATAAATTTGCTGAATGTTTCCTCTGCTTGGAATGCCCTCCTCTGACTCATCAACCTGAGAAACTCTTATTTACCCACCAGGCCTCAGCTCAAATATAGCCTCCACTCCGTGGCCTTCCATGACCGTCTCACCGTACTTTCTCTATACTCCACTGCTCACCTCCACTATAGCAGACAGCCGTCACAGTGACTGGCTTGTTTGTCTGTCTCTCATTCACAACGACCATACACCTGAGAGCTCATGGAGGACAGGCCTATTATCTCTTCATTCTCACACCTCCAGCTGGTCCAGATTAGGTGCTTAACAAATGCTGACTAAATGAATACATCAACTTTAAGAAGAGTTTTACTCTGTACAAGTACACCTGCTCTATAAAAGGAGTGAGTCATCTAGACTTTACTAACTCATGGCGAAAGTGTGGTGCTAAAACTGACCAAACTCTTTAACACCTAACCGAGATAAAGATACAAAAGGATAGTTCTTTTTGAAATAACTTACCCATAGTCCTCTAAGGCACATCCCAGCATAAGAAAAGTCAGCCCAATAGCCCCACTGAAGGATAATGCCACAAGAGCTGTGAAAAATAAAAACAAGAGTTAAGGGTCCTAGAGTAATAGTTTCCAGGAGCTGGAGGGATCCAGGGAATGGGAGTGGATACAGAGATCCTTTAGGGGTGAAGAAATGTTCTGAAATTCAACAGATACTGGACTTCCACCTAGCTGACCATGGTTTGAGTCCCAGACACAATGGCTTGAAGCTCACAGGAGGCGCATGTGCATGCACACCCAAAATCCCAAGAGGAGAATGAAGAAGGGATTGTGCATGGGTGATTTCTTGCTTTTTTGTCCCTCTCTCTATGGTGAGTGCACACACCCTATAGCAAAAATCTCTAAAAGAAAAAAAAAATCATAACATGGAGAAATATCTCAAGCCATCCCAGGACCTAACAACCCTATCAAATGGATAAATTCCCTCCATACATGTCACAAGAGGCCACCAGTCAGTCTGCACAACTGTAGCAAAGGAAAACTCACTACCACCTAGGCAGGTCATTTTATTCTGACAGCTTCTAAACGCTGAAAGTCATCCTTCCTTAAGCTAACTCCCAAACTGCCCCCCTGTAATATATACCTAGGGTCATTTTGCCTTTCCAAACCACAGTACTTCAAGTCCTTGTTGACTGTCATCATGTATTCATAGAAGACAACTCCCAACCAGTATCCACTGAACAAAATATTTATTGCCTACATCTGTTGGACACTAATCTCTGAGGAAATAGGAAGGTATTTGCCCTTGTCATGCTGCTGAGTGAGAGAGAGAATATAGGGTTGTAAAAAATCTTGAGCTCTGAGTCACAAGCATGGTTCAAATCTTAACTCCGCCACCTAGTGGTTGTGTGACGCTGGGTAGAAGCCAAACCTCTGAATCTGATTTACCTGCAAAATGGGAAAAATAGGGTGACCTTATTAAACTTATGAGAATTAGATGAAACAATGTATGTAAAGTGCTTTATAAAAGGAGGTGTTTAACAAGTAAGTGTTGACTGATGCAAGCACTTAGGCAATGTTTTTTAATAAAGGTATAAATCAAAAGAACAGGACATTGTATTATCTACATTGTCTTCTGGAAAAAATCCTTAGTACTCACACTCAGTCATTGATTAAACTAATAAGCATTTCTGGTTGTTTCCTTTTACTTTAAAAAGAGATTATGGGAGACTGGTTTATGGAAAGATGCCAAAGCACTTTTTAAAAAAAGTGGAAGTATACAGAAGTTAAGGGACAAGAAAGAACTGTTGGGACCAGCAGTTAGCGTAATGGCTATGTCTCTGGACTCCCATGTAGTCGACCACAGTTTGAGTCCCAGACCCGGCGGCTTAAATGCACACCGGGTGCGAGTGCGAGTGTACCCAAGATCCCAAGAGGAGAATGGAGGAGAAGGGATTGCGGCGTGGCCATCCCCTCTGGGGGGTGATTTCTTGCTTTCTGTCTCTCTGTCTCTCTGTCTGGCGAACACTCGCGCCCTATAGCAAAAACCTCTCCAAAAACAAAAGAAAGAACTGTTGATTTTAATTGATGTATTTTTTCCACTTAGTATTTGTCACCCACAGATAGAGGAACGTGACTTTTCACCTATTCTTTATGACAGATGACCTTCCCCTAGTTGGCTTTGCTCCCTCACTCCATCTAACCATCCGCAAGGATCCCTTCTCTGTGAGACCTGTCAAGGTTAGGAACTGTGGACATCTTTTCTCTGTTCTGACACCATTTTCTTAAGTTTCACAACCCTATTTCTGCTTTATTCTTTTTGGCCCTTTGTCTTTTTTCAGGAGTTATCCTTTGGCATTTCTTTCTTTTATTTTTTTTCCCCAAGGCTTTTGCCACAGGGTGCTTGCCCTCGCAGAGAGAGACAGAGACAGTGAGAGGGAAAGTGAGAAATCACCCCTAAAGGGGATGGTCACACTGTAATCCCTTCTCCTCCATTCTCTTCCCGGGGTTTGGGGCACACAAGCCCGGAGTGAGTTTCAAGTCGCCAGATCCAAGACTCAAACAGCAGTCGGCCATATGGGAGTCCAACACCTTAACTGCTGGCCCTTCCTTTGCTATTTCTTCAAGTTGGAGTTTACCAAGTATCCAACTCCGTCATTCTTCTCACTCCACACATTCCTGATGAGAACCTGCATTGACCCAAAGTTCCTGGTCCCCCAAGGGCCTGGCCACATCTGAGTCTTCAGCCCAATATAGATCCAAAGAACAAGGCCTGTACTTCCACCTCCAACCTGAGCTCTCCTGTACTGGTACACAAGAAAGACCTTAACCTCAACACACATAAAACTGAACCACCATCCCCACCCTCTCCTTCCAAGTACAAGTACACTTCATCTTCCCTACGAAGGTCCTACATTAAGAGACTAGACATGCTCATTGCACTCTGGCGCTGGATCTGCAGTATCTTCCAGCAAATCAGCAAGGCAAGGTGACTCATGCCAAGGTACCCTCTTCTCTTTAAGCTCTCTACTACTGCCCAGGGACAGGCCCTTCCTTACCCTCTTCTGCCTGCCTCCAATGGACACGTTTGCAGTTCATTCCCCATAGAGAAGACAGTGATTTTTCTCATACACTGGGCCATCAGGAAAGTCATGACTCATTTTTGCATAGTAAAACATAGAAAAATACTTCATGGAGGCTGGCAAGGTGGTATGGTGATTAAGGCACTGGACTCCCACGTGGCCAACTGCAGTTCCAGTTCTGGATCTGGAAGCTTGCTTTCTCACTTTCCCTTTCTCTCTCTAGTCAAATTAAAATAATAATAAATAAAATTGGGACCAGCAGTTAGCGCAATGGCTATGTCGCTGAACTCCCATGTAGCCGACCATGGTTCGAGTCCTGGACCCGGTGGCTTAAACTCATGCCAGGCGCGTGTGCGTGTGTGCCAAAGATCTCAAGAGAAGAATGGAGGAGAAGGGATTGTGGCGTGGCCATCCCCCCTGGGGAGTGATTTCTCATTTTCTATCTCTGTGTTTCTCTCTCTCTTTCTGGTGAGCACACATGCCCTATAGCAAAAACCTCTCCATAAAAATAAATAAATAAATAAAAGAAGAAAATAATAATAAATAAAATTAAATATTAAAAAACGAAAGAAAGAAAACTCCATCATGACTTCACTGACGACTAATATAGAGTCAATATAACTCCTTTGCAGTTGAGTTTACAGCTTTCAAGATGTTCTGGCACTCAAAACTCACCATGGTCCAACCTGTTTCTCTAGCTTCAGCCTTCAGCCTTTACCTAGAACCCTAAGTTCCAGTCTTAGCTTAAGTTCTTAAAGAAAACAAGGTGCATTCTTTCATGCCCCTTGCCCCATGTCACATGCCAGGTGAAGATGTAACAGACTCCCTAAATTCAGTGAAAACAGCCCTCTTCCTCCCTGGAGCAGGACTATGTAATTCCATCTGTATTAGTTTCTTATGGCTGCTGTAACAAAAACCACACACTTGGGAGCTCAGAACAACAGAAATTTATTCTCTCTCAGTTCTGAAGGCTAGAATTCTAAACTCAAGGCATCAGCAGGGCCATGTTCCTTCTGAGAGTTTAGAGAACAATCCTTCTTGCCTCTTGCTAATACCTGATGGTTGCCAGCAATCTTTGTTGCTACTTGGCTTGTAGCTGCCTAACTCCAAGTTCTGCTCTGTCGTCACGTAGTGTTCTCTGCCTGTATATCGCCATGCCCAAATTCCCTTCTTTTTATAAGGACACCAGTCATTGGCCAAAAGCCACTCAAAGGCAGTATCATCTTAACTTGACCATCTGCAAAGGCTCTATCTTCAAATAGGCAACAGTCACAGGTACTAGAGAACTTGAAATTCACATCTTCTCTGTGCTCCCACTGCATCTGAGCACACTTTGGACACTAACACTCACTATTTCCTGCTCTGTCACTCAACAGGAAAATCTCATTTATCTTTTTAATCCTAAGTCTCCAATACACGGTAGTTTCTCATAAAAGTTGATCCATCTGCAAAACACTTTGTTCCCTTAGTCCTTTTCCATTTCGCAGCCTGTTTTCCTTTTCACTACTGTAATTTCTAACATGACACATTACAGCATGATTACAATTCGATAGTTTCCCATCATGACTAAATACTTTGCAACGCTGAGATACTGCTTGTCATCTGGTTATCTGTTGGCTTCCAGTGAATATGTTAACCCAGTGGACACTATCCAAGTAAGCCATGTTTACTAAACGGACATTGAATATAAAAGTCAGCCAGAAATGATAAAATGTATCTCCTGCGAACAGCAAATATTCTGATAAATTCATAGTGAAAACACATGCACCACACGGGTGCACATGCTAAGTCCTGCATATATGTCTGTAGCTGACACTGCTTAACTGGTGACGGAAGATCTCTGAGTACAAATTTCAAGGACAGGAACATGGAAACCTTATGCTACTCTGTTGGAACATTAGAAATAGAATGGTGTCCTACCCAAGTAACAAGGAAGTCGTCCAATAACCTCTTCCGTGGCTTCCAGATCTCATTCTACTAAAAGCATATGGATAAGAAAAGTGATGTTCTTGGTACTGCCTTTTTATCTACCGTACATACTATATTCAGAATCATGTACCACACTAACACTCCTTTGTTGTCTGTCCACAAGTGAACAGAGAAAACAATGAAAAAAAGTCTTGTTACAACTCCAGCTAATCCAATCTCCACGATGACAAGAAATACAGTATTTCTGAATTTCTATTGACGCCCGCCAGCAGTCAACCCTGCCCCGTTGGAAAAACCATCAGAACAAAGGATTGAGTTTCCCAGCGGGGAACGCTGGAGACAGGCTCCTTTGTTAAGAAATGGGAAACTACGAACGGGAAGGAAACCAGAGGAAAGGCGTGAGGGTGGACACGTCAGGAAGTGAAAACCTTGAAAAAAAAAAAAAAAAAAACTGCATGGGAGGAGAGTTCTCGAGAAACTGAGGAGGAGCCTGGGCGGTGATGCTCCCGGCGCGAGCCTGGATCTTGCAGGGAGGCAGCTCTCTCGGGGGAGAACTCCACTGGGGGAGAGCCTGGCAAACGCCTCGCAAAGGGGTGAAGTCCAGTGGCCTTGCAAAAAACGGCTGAGGTTCCCCCGGAACGACAGCCCACCGCACTCCAGGGGCTGGGAGCGGGCAGGCACCTCCCACCCAGAGAGGCGGAAAGAACCGCGGGCTGCGAGAAGCCGTTCCCAGCCGGCGCGCTGAAGGCTCAGCTCCCGGCTTAGCGCAGAGGGGAGATGGCGTCCCCGTCGCACGAAGAACCCGCCTAGGGCCGCGGATGTACCTTTAACGCCTGCCATGTCTCTGGAACTGGAGCCGCAGCTGCTTCCGGCTTCCTGCCACCGCCAGGCCCCCGCCCAGTCCAGTCCTAAGGCCTCCCCAAGGTTCCCAAGCCCGCCTCTGCCGGTTCGGATCCCGCCCACACCAAGCAGAGTCCCGCCCCTACCGCCCCAGAACTCCGCCTTCAGGTCTCAAAGCCCTGCTCCAGCTGGTCCAGAACTCCGCCTTCAGCTAGAGGCTGGCTCTTGTCGGTTCAAAACTCCGCCCTCACCTACCAGAGCCCTGCCCCCATGGTGCCGATCCCGCCCTCGCCACGCAGAGCCCCGCCCCAGCAGGTCCAGAACTCCGCCCCCAGCTCGCAGAGTCACGTCTCTGCCGGCCCAGAACTCCGCCCTCAGCTCGTAGAACTCCGCCCTCAACTGGTAGAGCTCCGCCCCTACCAGCCCAGAACTCCACCCCCAGCAAGCCGAGTTCAGGTCTCGGCTCTCAGTTTCCACTCCTGCATACCGATGTTTGCTCAGGGTAACCTAGAGCCAGCGCCCTCCTCCTAAGTCCTAGCCTCGCTGCTAGTCACCGAACCCGCGCCTGCACCATGCTCCGCCCCTCAGTCAGTCCTCTGAGCCACTGTGTGCCAGCAGTTGTGGTGCCTGTGTGCATTTATGTGGCAGGTGGAAAGGGTGGGGAGGGACACGTCTGGATAAAAACTTGTTTGCATGGTCTGTTTTGGCAAGAGCAGTGTTAGCACTTCACAAAACGGACAAGATTTTTTTTCTTCTGGTTTAGAGAAAATAACCATATAAGCTTTTTTTCAGTCCTAAATTTTCATGAACCTTCACTAGCTAGTATTTTTTTATTGCGCCTCAAAGTCTGCCGTAACCAAAGCCCATTTTCACACCTCGAGAGCTATTTTGTGCTGGAAATGGAGTATTTGACTTGCTGTGGACTTGTAGGGGACACCTCAGAAACCATGTGGTCCACCTACTTCATCTTACCTGGAAAGGTTCAGAAAGGGCAGGACTTGCCTGTCCCAGAGTTCTCTGGAGACCACTGGATTTCCGGCCACTTTCCCCTCATTCTTGCCAGGAGCCACTCCACGTGCTCCGTGCTGTCCCTCTTCCCTTTTCTCAGTTTTCAAAGGACTGAAGGAGAAACCAGGGGAACCCAGCCTGTGGGAACTCAGTTTCTCCTGGTTACCTGAGAAGTGCACTCTCACTACTGCCATCTTGGAAATCCGCCATTTACTTTCACAGTTACTTTTTCAAAACTGTGTCCTGACCATAATTTTGTCTCAACAGATGTTTGATTATCTGTGTTCTAGCCCTCATTTCTCCTCCTAGGTACGTCTATCTAGGCATACTTATTAAAAACATTGTGTTGGGACCAGCAGAGGGCTTAATGGCTACATCACTGGACTCCCATGTAGTCTACTGTGGTTTGAGTCCCGGACCTGGCGGCTTAAACTCATGCAGGGCACGTGAGCGTGCGTGTCCAAGATTCCCAGAGGGGAATAGAGGAGAAGGGATTGCAGATTGTAGCATGGCCATAACCCCTGGGGAGTGATTTCTTGCTTTATGTCTCTCTGTCTCTGACTTTGTGGCAAGCGCAAGCGCCCTATAGCAAAAACCTCTCAAAAAAATAAAATAAAATAAAACAACATTGTGTTGCTGGTGCCTGACTCACTGCAGATGCTTGCAGATTCAGGACTACACTGCACACCTAACCCTGTAGCCTGCAATCTATTCAGCATCCAGGGCCAACTGGTGGCGTGATGGTTAAGGTGACTGGATCCCACAAAACCTACTGCCCAGTTAGAGGCCTGGACTCAGCAGCTTGAGAAATACACAGGGCATGTGTGCGTGCATACCCACAATCCGGAGAAGAGGGGATTGTGGCATAGCTGTTCCCCTTGGGGGCTGCTTTCTTACCTTCCCTTTCTCTTTCTCCAGTGAGTGCATGTACTCTGTAAGAAATTTTAAAACATACACACATGAATTGTTGAGAGCGTTATGTGCAGAATATACCACCACCCCAAAATATGCCACTTGGCATGAGGGTTATTTTGAGCTAAGACAATCAAGGCACAGATACAAAACAATCTCTCTGCTTCCCTCTATTTGCCGAAACCCAGAATAGAAAATTTATAAATATCTATCTACTGTTCACTCTACCAAGAAGGACAAAGGTAAACCACCAGGGATAACTTTAGACCCTTAGCCTGGAGACAGCGCTAGAGAAATGTGCATAAGAAACAATACTATCTAGACTTTATTTACCGCGAATCCCCATGTATTTGTCTTCCCACAATGTCACCCCTACAAACTCAATGAGTCTTTCTTCTGTTATTTCTCTAAAAACTGGGTTGTTCTTTTGCTAAAATGCTATATAAGCCCAAATTCTAAACAAACCTTTGACATAACCATCTCTGTGTTCTCTCATTATTCCGTGTAAGCTGCACATGTGGATAAATGGTTTTTCTCTTATTATTGTGTTTTTGGACAGTCTCATTTATTGGGCCCCAGCTGGAAAACCTAAGATGGGAAGAGAAAGCGATTTTTCCCCCATGAGAGTTTCTGTTTTCTTTCTGAGTATCATATTCTTTCTAAGCACCTGTTTAAATACTCCAGGGAAACAAATCCCAGAAGGGTGTGGTTTTTAGTTTCTCTAGTATAATGCTGAGGAAATCCCATTAAGAAGACTTGTTCAGAGGCCAGCAGATGGTGTAGTGGTTAAGGTGTTGGACTCCCACATGGCTAACTTTAGTTCGAGTCCCAGACCTGTCAGGTTGAAGATCATAGCAGGCATGTGTGCGTGTGTGTGTGTGTGTGCCTGTGGTTCCAGGAGAAGGGAGGCGGATCCTTGGGGAAGGGGGGTTCTCACTTTCTCTCTCTGTGCGAGTGTGTATGTTCAAGTGTGTGTGTGTGTGTGTGTGTGTATCTGGCAAGTGCATGCACCCTATGGCAAAAACCTTAAAAAAGTTTTTTCACCTTAACTAATAAATATTCTATAGGATGAAATTTCCATATTTCCCCCCTTACACTCTCGACCACCCAGTGCTTCTCTGAAAAGCCATACAGTGTTTGCCGGAGCCTTCCATGTCAGCCCGGTGCCACTCCCACCAAAGAGAAATGAAGGAGAAAAACTGACGGCATTCCAGAGGCACAGCTTGCTTTGACTGCCTCAGGCTTAGTAGTGAGATACTAAGATGGTAAGAAGTGAAGAGCTGAGGTGTTTGCCCCAGGGTATTATCTGGAATCAGAAAAATGCTGAGACAGTGTTTGTCTCCAGCAAACCTGCTCATCCCAACTGCCCTTTGCAGTTCACCAAACGCTTTAAGGAGAGGGTTAGTCATCTTGCCAAATGCTTTAAGCGTCTCCTGAGAAAATCTGCTCTTGTTTTGATAGATGTACTGAAAAAATTGTTCTCCTACTTATCTATTCCATAGTATTACCTCAGGAAAAAGAGTAACCAGGACCAGCAGATGGTGTAATGGTTATATCACTGGACTCCCACATAGTTGACTGTGGTTCAAGTCCTGGATGTGGCAGCTTAAAACTCACACAGGACACATGTGCATGCATGCCTCCCCCACAAAAAAAAAAAAAAAGGAAGAGAGTAACAAAACCAGAAAGTAAGCCCTTAGAAGCCAAATCTTAACCCACGATTTGTTATTGTTACCAAAACCAAAAACAAACTAGGTTTGTGGTAGACAGTTAGTGAGCCATGAGCGGGCAGCCCTAAGAGAAAAGCGAAAGGCTCACCTAGCCCTGGGTGCCAGGAGGGCAAGGTAATTTGCCATATTCCTTCCTTAAGGCTTGAGGGAAGCATACAGGGATAGTTCATAGATTTTTCTCTTATCAAAAGGACCCAAGCAAGCATTTTGGTCATTAAGGCGATAGACTAATTGGGCAATCTAATTGGGGCAACCTGACTTGCACTGGGCGTACGCAATTAGGTGATCAAATTCCTCACTTTACCTGTGAGGAAGGTGCGCAGGTGCAGGAGAGAACATGTGGATTCAAATTTAAAGGAAGGACAAGGCAGCGTAAGGGGGCCGCCCACTAATGAATAATCATCACCTCTAGTAATAAAAGTAACAATTAACCAGTATCGAGCTCAGTTGCCACTTGGCAATCCACCCACCCAACAACCTTTTTGGGTGTACTTTTTTTCTTTCCTTAATTTTCTTTCTATTAAACCTTCTTTTCTATCTACTTTATTCGTGGTTGTGGTTTCATTTTGCGCCTAGGGACAGATCTCTAATTTTAGTGATCTGGACCCAAAGAACCAAGGATTTTACAATGCAGCTCAACACTTTTCCATCCGGTAACAGGTTCACTTGCCCAGTGCCACAAAACCAAAAATGGGACCCTGGAGTTATGGTTGAAGAAAGTACACACACATGCCTGATGGGTTTTTCAGGCTGCTGGGGTCAGGATTCAGAGGCGGTCATCCGTGTGGGATCCAGCTCCCTTAACCACTAGACCATGGGTGAGTCCCACAGTCATGCTCTTTTTTTTAATTTTCTTTTTCTTTTCCTCTCATATGTGCTCCCAGAGAGAGAAAGAAAGTGAGAAATCACCCTCAAGGGGGATGGCCACACTGCAATCCCTTTTCTTCCAGTCTCCTTTCAGAATTTTGGGCTCATACACACACACACAGTGTGATGTTCAGGCCACCAGGTCTGGGACTCGAACTGTGCAATGGGCTTAACCTCCATGCCACCTGCTGGCTCCAGTCATGCACTTTTAAGGACTGTACAAAGGGTAAAGGTTTCAGGCAACATGGTCAGCTCAGTGACTGGTTCAAGAGAGCATAACCATCCCATAGGATTTCTTGATTAGTGCCATCCTAAGTAACTCGGTTCTACTCTTGGAGGGGACAATTTTCAAGTTTCCTAGTGCCGTCCAGTCTGGGGTCGGTATGTCCTCTTTCAGGAATTCCCATCTGTGTGTCCTCTATCCTAAAGAACACCTCAAGTTGAGTTACAATCTTTTATTTTCTTTCAAGTGGTTTGATTTTTTAGACCCTTATGGCCCTGACTAATGGCCAGTGTTACATAGCCACCATAGCCATCCTTTAATGGCTAGCATCAACAATGATTCACTATTTATTTAACCTAGTTCCTATTAGCTTGCAATTTGGGGGGAAATTCTATTTCTTCTCTCAATAGAAAAGCAGCAAGTGAGGACCAGGTTCTTTGTACCTTTTCTCCTTCTCCTCCTCCTCTTCTTCTTCTTCCTCCTCCTCCTCCTCCTCCTCCTCCTTCTTTTTAGATAGAGATTTTTGCTATAGGGCATGTGTGCTTGCCAGAGAGACAGAGAGACAGAAAGCAAGAAATCACCCCCTGGGAAGATGGCCATACCGCAATCCCCTCTCCTTCATTCTCCTCTCCGGATCTTGGTCATACATGCACATGCACCTGGCATGAGTTTTAAGCCACCATGTCTGGGTCTGGAACCGTGGTCAACTATGTGAGAGTCCAGCAACCAGCAATGTAACTATTATGGCATCTGCAAGGACCAGGCTCTTTTATAGGGTCCCTGTTCAGTTTCACCATCAGTGTGCTACTTGGATGTGTAAGATCTGTGACCTCTGCCACACTGCCAAGGATGCATTTTAATATTCTTTCACTGCATTCAATTCTCTCACATTATAAACTAGGTTTCCTTATGTCTTTTTCCAGATGGGAAAACTAAGGCTCAGATAATAACGAACGGATAGGGAAGCTGAAACCAAGCTCCAAACCATTCTACACTACAGTCAGACTGTCAGCAGCTGTATTATTACACACAGTAGATCTTGTGCACCAGGAAGACAGGAATTTTCCTGGTAAGTAGAAATAACAGTAACCCCTTAGGTTTAACAGGGCATACAAATCCATTTATTGATTCAGTTTTCCCCTATATATTAGTATCTTGAATATAGAATATGCAAAGTATTGGTAGGATTAATGAATTTCATCTCTCCCTATCCTACAAAATGATCTAGCCCCAAACCTCCATTTTGAGTAAACTTTACTGTCCTGAGATAGAATTAATAAAACCTGCCTCTCAAAATATTTTGAGAATCAAAAGAAAAATATGTATGTGCCGGGGGCATATCAACACTGGGAAGGCATCCAGCTGAGTGTAACACAGCCATTCCCTTTACAGAACCTAAAATGCAAATCTCTGCCATTTTATTCCGACAGAGGTAACCTTTTCTATTCATGTTATCCACTCCCCACCACCTGAGGTTTTAGTGTAATTCTACCCCTAATAGTAACCTGCAGTGCTACATCTGTCTACTTTACTGCTGCTAACAATAATAGTTACTACTTACTGAAAATCCCTCAATAATAGTTAACATACACAGTTTCTAATTCTTCCATCACAGCGTTGTGAGGATTTTATTTTGCAGGTGATAAACATTAAGGCTCAGAGAGTTTAAGAAATTTGTCCAACATAACACTCTATCAATGGAAAAACTATCACTCAAATCCAGTCTTTTGGTCTCCACTGAAATATACCACTACATACAAATATCACGGTTTACCTTTAGAACAATCAAAATCTCAAGAGGAGAATGGAAGAGAAGGGATTGCAGTGTGGCCATCCTCCCTCAGGGGTGCTTTCTCACTTTCCCTCTCACTGTCTCTCTGGCAAGCACACAGACCCTATAGCAAAAACCTAAAAAAATACAAAACAAATCTGTCCACTTGACCTCAATGCTGTGATAGATGTTTCCAGCAGGGAAACTGTTGTTATAACTGTTTCTGGAATTCAACTTTTGTGTTCCTTTCTGTTTTATTAGCAGAATTAGCATCCAATTTGAGCATTCTTCCAGATATAGACAGTACAGTTATGTTTCCAATGCTTTTGAATTGGAGCATTTATTTTCAAATGAACATGCTGGTTCAAAAAAAATTATGTGTCTATGATAAAGACTCCCAGGATCAATCCCTTTGCCTCAGAATACGAGTGCACTTTTGAAAATCCATTAACATTCTAGCTAGGAGACCAGAATTTTTGTGCTAATTTTTTCAGAAACATTGTATGCATGTAGTATGATGAAAATGTGTGTGTGTGTGTGAATGTATGTGTATAAGCAGGGGTGGTTAAAGTATAAATCTAGAAATCCTGTTATATTTTAGTGCAAATGTATTAGTATATGTTTTTCATGTTCTTTAGCATAACTTTCCTTAAAATTAAATCATGTCAGGATCAGCAGATGGTGGAATGGTTACACCAGTGGACTACTGTGTGGCGCATATGCATGCGTGCCCAAGATCCCAAGAGGAAAATGGAGAAGGGATTGCAGTGTGGCCATTCCCCTAGAAGGTGATTTCTTACTTTCTGTCTCTCTGGCACACACATGCACCCTATAGCAAAAACCCCTCTTTAAAACAAAAGAATTAAATTATGTCACAATATATCATTTGATTTTGTTATTGTATTCCTACTTGTGCAGAAATAACCCAGGTTTCTCCATATATTTTTTGAGTCTTTTACTATACATTACAAATATTTTAGACCAATCACATTTTGTTGTAACATATTTACAAAACAAAAAATATATTACAATAAATATGAATGAAACAGTAAATCTCATCAACAAGCTCAGTCACAACCAGTTATTTAAGAGGAACGCAAACACCCGTGGGTCTGCATATGTTAAGAGTTTTGAGATATAGAAGGGTCCAGAATTATAATGTATCCAGGAAAGAGATGTGGGGGAAACCCCCAAATTTAGTTAAGTAAGATTCTTTCTCACTGCTAATTACATAATGTTTAATGATGTTTTAAACTGTGAACATTGGCGAATTATCCAAACATGATACAAAGCTAATATAATTCTATCATTTCAAAATGTACGAGACATCCACATAATATCCTTTTAATTATTATCGTTGTCTACGGTAGTTCACATAATATCTACAAATATGAGTAAGAAAAAAAACAGGTCACAGAAACATGTCTCACATTCCAATTTTAAATAAGACAAGCACATACTGGATCAAACATTATTTTATAATACGTTAATAAATAACACCTAGTTTGTTACGGTTACCTTGAACAGTTTACAGCTGTATATTTTAAAAAGAGAATATTTTCTGTGGGTTTCACATTGTCAGTAAAAGGTAAAATAAATAATGAACCTTTGTAACCAAAGTTAAAAAAAAAAAAATAGAGAGAAAGAGAGATCAATCTATGTGAACCTAAAGGATTTTTGACATGCTGCTTTTCTGGTACGATTTGCCACGAAGAAATTAAAACAAACAAAAATGATTGTCTTTTAAAAACAACTCTGAAAGCTTTTCACAATATTGAGCAGGAACTTTTTAAGATTAACATGAATTTTTTTTTTTGCCCATCTGCATTGCATATATATGTAAATATACTGCACACTGTGTATGTGCAAACCAAAAGAAATCTACTTAACATCACAGGAGAGCAAACTGCTTACCCCTCAAAAATCAGAACCAGCCAAAACGCTGAACTGAAGTCCAACCAGTTTGAGACCAGGAAGGGTTTCATTCTTTTTGCTTTCGCAGATGTCCCTATGTGAATGTTCTTCTGTGGACTCTTTTAAAACAAATGACACTGTAATCATCCAAGGGGTCCAGGTTCTCCAGGTGGGGAGAGAGATCTGGTTCCGCAAAGCAAATACTGACACACCATCTGATCTGGCCCAAAGGTGAGCACAGCCTTGCCACTGGAACTGACGAGTATTCAGTGTTGTCTTCTATTCTCTTACCACAACTGCTCACAAACCTGAAGAGCTTTCTAGGTATTGGTCCTGATAAATTGTGACTGGGCCAAATACTTTAGAATCTGTTTCCAGCTAAAACCATTTTCTAGATTAAGCAAAAAAAAAAAAAAAAAAAAGCAAACAAACAAACAAAAACATTAAACCTTATGGCAAAATTAGAAGTTTCAAATCAGATTTAGAGTTGTTGTTATGGTATTCGGATATTTTTCTTTAACCAACCACAGTTTTCAAAAAGGAAAAAAAAAAAGTAGCAGCCCAATGCCCTGACCGGGAATAAAGATTTATACCTTTCCCAATCCCTATTTTCTTTCACTCATTTTTAGCTTATCCAGGAATAGTTGTGATAATCACTGGATTGCAGTACAATTATTTTTCACAACGCAAGTTTTTTTTTTTTTTTTTAATATTTGTTAGTTGTTTTGACCAATAGACATATACAGTGTTAGGCTAAAGACCGCAGGAAATTTTCATTAAAAGAAAAAATAATAATTGGAAATTCTGTTCCTAAATTCTGTGTAAAGTCATTGCTCCAATGATACCTTTCCAAGAAAATCTAAAGACCATTATGCAAAACTACCATGTCATCCTATTATCATAACTTTACCTCATTAACCCTATTCCCAGACAATGAGATGGATGTTGTGCCTTCACCTTTGGTGGCCTCTTATTTTCCATTTCTCCCAGACAAAATGCTGAGAATACTTCCCCAAAGGACAGGCTGGAATGTTGTTAACTCTGCAAGGTCATCACACTGAAAGTTCCTTTCCTGCTTGGGACCTTTTATGGTGAGGACTTAGAGGAACCAAATGTCCACCTCCCTTATCAATGAAAAAAAAAAAAATCCATGGTTTAACAGTTTTAGTACTGAAAACATGTTACTGGAATTTTTGGTTCATCTGTGAAAACCTTGGAACCGTGACACACACTAAGCATTAGCACAGTCTGCAGCAGAAAGGGAGAGCTCATAGGTTAATACAAGGGCTTTTGGCCTTGGTTTTCAAATTCAGACCAGGCATCATTTAGCTCCATGAAAATCATCTTTGCATATTGTTCATAGGGTTGCCCAGTAGCCTATAGGAAAAAACAAAAACACACATTCAATAGCACAGACCTAACTTTTCCTTATATTAACATTTCTTGCTGCTTATATGCGGGCTCTAAGTACTTAAAATGCTTTCCTTTTAGGTCATTTCTCTGGTCACAGCCTAGTCGACATGATCCTAATACTATGACCGCCCCATAATGCCCTTCCCCTAGAGTACACCTAGAGTATTACTGATCATCAACGAGTAATATCAGAGAGTGTATTGGGTAGCAAAAGAGGCATCTCCATTCTCCAGAAGTATCTACCAAATGACAAAGATTTGGGATAGCCTGTCTCCAATATATATCTATATTTCTAAGCTCTCATCTTCCCCCCTCAAAAAACATACAATTCTTTGAGATCTATAACAACAGAATATAGTTTGTCAGTTTTTGGAGTCCTGTGTCTCTCATTTTTGATTCATTAATTCAACTGTTAATGTCATTTTTCTTTAATTTTTCTATATATATTAGTACCCAAAACTATAGAGAGATGAAAATCAAACACATAGAATTCAAACACATGTTGCCGAGTGACACGTTAATCACAGCTTTTTGTCATATGCCTGGGATAATCCACAGGACACTAAGATGACTGGTTCTGTCTGAGATGTTTCTGTGTATTATGATGGCTTCAATTGAGCTATGAAAAAGTTGAAGTTTCTGTGAATGCAGAACATTTAAATGCATGGATACTGCAATGAAAACATGAACTGACATCATCAACACAGTGATGAATTTAGTTCTATTTTAAATATTTTGTTGATACTTAAGAATTTTGCCAACTACAATCGAAAGCTTTTCCACTACAATCCTGGTTAAAGACACTAATGGGGGGACCAGCAGATGGCATAATGGTTACGTCACTGGACTCCCACATAGTAGACCATGCTTCGTCCCAGACACGGCATGTGTGCCCAAAATCCAGAGAGGAGAATGGAAGAGAAGATGATTGTGGCAGGGCTATCCCCTGTAAGGAGTGATTTCTCACTTTTGTCTCCCTGTCTCTGTCTCTGGCAAGTATGTATGCCATATAACAAAAATTTCTCAAAAAAAAAAAAAAAAAAAGGACACTGGTGGGGGCCAGCAGGTGGCATGGTGGTTATGGCGCTGGACTCCCACATGGCTGATTGCAGCTTGAGTTCCAGATTTGGCAGCTTAAAAATCATGCCAGGTATGTGTGTACACATGCCCAAAAATCCCAGGAGAAGAATGGAGGAAAAGGAATTGTATCATGGCCATCTTCCCAGGGGGTGATTTCTCACTTGCCCTCTCACTGTTTCTCTCCAGTGAGTGCACATGCACTATGGCAAAAACATTTTGAAAAGAAGAGGAAGAAGAGAAAAAAGAAAAGAAAAAAAGACATTGGTGTGTCTCCAACGGAGAAAAATGAAAAGTTTTCCTCTGTTCAGCTCTTAGCATGTGCTTACTATTCTAAGTCAGGACACAACTTACAGTTGAGTTCTAAAAATTAGTCCATGGTGAATCTTATTCCTCTGTAAATAAAGCCCCTACAATCTATAGTTTCATTTCTTTTTGCCCAGTTCATAAAATACACCTACTTGTTTGAATTTCTGACTTCAGCTCATGAACTTAGTTTTATTAAACAGTGGCCTAATCAACCAGCAAATTGGAAGCATGATACATGCTCATAAAATAATGAAACAAGGCCCAGACAAATGCCATGACAGAGCAGCTTATACTCACTTTATCTGGGTGGACCACCAGGACAGCCTTTCTGTACACCTTCTTCACCTGCTCTGGTGTTACCAGGTCTGCCATGCCAACAGGCTTCCACTTGGTCTCCCCAGCCCATAGCACTGTGTGCATCGTGGAGAGAAGGGCTCTGATATTTCTCTCTTTGCCTTCAATCCATTCCAGGATCTGTAAACACAGGCAGATTAAGAAAAGCAAATGCTTTCTAGTCCAGAAGGTTTCCACAAGGACACTGGAGACATCCGAATACTTGGGACGTCCCCAGTACTCCAAGCTGTTTCCACTGCCTGGAATGTTTTTCTACTTCCATCTCTTGCCCTGTCTTTCTGTTTTACTCTGTTTTTAAAATTATTAAATTTGATTTTATTCATTGTCATTATTTTATTTATTTTTATTTTTTATTGAAGTTGACCAGAGAGAATCAGAGAGAGAAGGAAAGTGGAAAAGCAAGCCGCCAAGTCTAGGACTCGAACTGTGGTCGGCCATGTGGGAGTCCAGCCACCTTAACCACCAAGCCACCTACCAGCCCACTCTTTTGGGTTTACTCTCCATTTGATCTTTTGAAAGCCTGGTCAGGAATTGCACACTGTTAACCTTCAAGAGCTTGAATTTCAGAGCCAGTATAGTGGTTTAGGTGCTGGACTCCCAATGCCCAACCATGGAAGTCACCAGTCCCAGACCTGGTGGCTAGCTTCTCACTTTCCCTTTCTCTCTCTGTGTGTTCAACTTAAAAATAATAGTGATAATAACAAATAAAATAATCCTTAAAAGAAAAAAAGTTTGAATTCCTTCCTTGCTAGTCCCCCAGGCTACTCCCTCTTTTTTTTTTTTTTTAAGAGAGTTTGTTTTTTGTTTTTTGGGGTTTTTGTTTGTTTGTTTTTGTTTGTTTTGTTTTGTTTTGTTTTTGCTATAGAGTGTGTTTACTTGCTGCTTGCTAGAAAGACAGAGAAAGAGAGAGAGAGAGTGCAAAATCACCCCTTTGGGGGATGGCCATGCCACAGTCCCTTCCCCTTCTTTCTCCTCTCTGGATTTTGGGCACACACGCACACATGCCTGGCATGAGTTGTAAGCTGCCGGCTATGTGGGAGTCCAGTGACGTAACCATTATGCCACGTGCTGGTCCCCAGGCTACTCACTCCTAACATATAAACTCCATGAAAGCACACACTGCCTGCATATTATTGCCTGCACTAAGTACTATCTCTTAAAAAAAAAAAAAAAGCCAAACTTCTCTGGCTACTCTACTTTAAACATGCTTCTATGAGAATACGTGCTACAGTTTATTGTAATTGTCTGTATGTTTTTTCCTAACATTAGACAGAGCTCTTTGAGGAAAGACTCTATTTTGTTTATATTGCTCTGGAACCGAAGAATATACTTGGTGCAGAACAGAACTCAAAAAGGCTTATTTTAAAGGACCAATAGATGGCGTAATGATTACATCACTGGACTCCCACATGGTCGACAGTGGTTCAGGTACCAGACCCAGAGGCTTTAAACTCACGCCAGGCACGTGTGCATGCCCAAAATCCCAAAAGAAGAATAGACAAGAAGGGATTGTGGCATGGCCATATCCTCAGAGGGTGATCTCTCTCTCTCTCTCTCTCTCTCTCTGTCTCTCTCTTTCTCTCTAGAAAGTACATACACCTTACAGCAAAACTTTCTCTTAATAAAAAAAAAGGCTTATTAAATAAATTGATCCATTTAGACATTTATTGAAACTATGAATGTTTATAGTTTAAATCTTTACAATGTTAAACTTTTTGGCCTGAAAGGACCTCCGTACTCTTTTTTGAGTTCCATAAGGAAACACTTGGGCAATGAATCACATGAAGCCCACTCTTTAAACTCTTCAAACTGTACTCATGCAGGAAACATCAAGCTGTAACCAATCTAATTATTTCTCTACCTCATCCCCTCTCTTCTCTTTTTTGTACCTCACTGTCTCTTTTCTTGTGCATAAATGTAACCCCACCACCACAAGGCTCTCTGGAGTTCCTTGGAAGTCATTCTGGGGTTGCATGATTTGAATCAATTCTCCTCAATTAAATTCTGCTAAATAGGGACCAGCAGTTGGTATAATGGCTACATCGCTGGACTCCCATGTAGTCGACCACGGTTTGAATCCCAGACCCAGTGGCTTAAACTCATGCCGGGTGCATGTGCATATGTGCCCGAAATCCCGAGAGGAGAATGGAGGAGAAGGGATTGTGGTGTGGCCATACCGCTGCGGGGGGTGATTTCTCGCTTTCTGTCTCTCTGTTTCTCTCTGTCTTTCTGGCAAGCACACGTGCCCTATAGCAAAAAAACTCTCCAAAAATAAAACATGAAGAGAGAGAGAGAAAGAAAGAAATTCTGATAAATAAAATTGTCTGAAGTTTTTATTTTAACAACAGTTTGAGCAAATGAGGTGATTAAGTTAGCTGAAGAAATTACAATATTTGAGCACTTGGCACCTAACAGGAGTTCAATGAGTGTTGTTGGAGGAATGGTTTAGTCTCTCAGTTAATTATGGTTCCCAAACAGTTAAACCCCCTATACCAATTAGATAACTAAACATAGTTTCAATAAAATAAACAACTTTCTGTTAGTGAAAACTCAGAATCTGTCTAGTGAGTAAAGGTCATCGAAGTGGTCCACAGAGTTTTTGTGCAATGTATGTGAAGCAAGCAGCAAATGAAAACATTGTACTAGAAAAAGAGTCAGAGAAATGACACGTCTACAACAGTCAAATCTGTCATGAAATTATGGAGACAAATAGGCATATACATTTTCAAAATGTGTTTTAGACAGGTTAGATATTCTTCTTTTAGTTTGTTATCATGTCATTATACTCAATACTTTTTTACACAGGAATTCAACCTCTCCATCTGGGAAGAGCATTATAATTCTCTTGGTCTTGATAAACTCTTCCACAGTCTCACACCACACATCAACACAACCACCCTCTGTGTCCAGGCTAATCTGCATCTACCAGTCTGTACAACATTCTCATTTAAGAAAGGCATGTTCAGGTCCTCCTATACAAAATAACAGAGTCAGATTTGCTGACTTGCAAAGTTTAGGGAGAAAAAAAATGCAGAAACTTTCTTTGTCTTTCAAATCAAATCTACACAGACCTTCAGAATAGAAACAGAATAAATTAGAACCATTCTAGTTTAAAATGGAAGAAGTAAATGGGAAAGCCCAGATCCACCCCTCCCCTCAACCTTCTCTCTCCTACTTGCCTCGCTTCCAGGTTCAACATCACAGGGTTTGGTAATTCTCATGCATAAATATTTCCCTTTCTACCAACAGAGAAAATATCCTGAGGCTTCTGGTCAACCTGGACTATGGAAGTTCTTGAGGCACAAAGAGAAATTATAAATAATGCATCTTACCACCAATTTCTAATGATTTGTCTTCAGACTGTGAATATCACATGAATAATAAAATCACATCTTAAAGAGTGCCACTGGATGGGATCAGCAGATGGTGTAATGGCTATGTTGCTGGACTCCCATGTAGTCAACTGCAGTACGAGTCCTGGACCCGGTAGCTTAAACTCACGCCAGGCACGTGTGCGTGCATGCCCAAGATCCAGAGAGGAGAATAGAAGAGAAGGTACTTCGTAGTGGCCATCCCCCCCGGGGGTGATTTTTTGCTTTCTGTCTGTCTCTCTGTGTAAGAGAGTACATGCACCCTATAGCAAAAACCTCTCAAAAAGAAGAGTGCCACTGGTCATTTGAAAAGGTAAACAAGGAAAAACAAGTATTACTAAATCATGGAATAAAATTTAGTTACTAAGGAAATTAAACAGTATGTTTAAAAGCTACATTGCTATTAAAGGGCATAGCTGTACTCACGTCACAGCTTCAAGGACCAATGGAAATACTGCAGTTGCCAGAAATCTGACATGGTGCTTTATATGGTTGCTATGGTCTAAATGTTTACATCCCCACAGAAGTCACACACTGAAATTCTAACCCACGAGGTGATGTTTTGGAAGATGGGGGCCTTTGGGAAGTGATTAGACCATAAGAGCAAAGCCCTAATGAGTGGGATTAGTACCCATATAAAGGAGGCCTGGGAGAGATCCTTCTCGTCTTCGCAGGTGAGGAAAGTGAAAAAGGACCACCTTACCAGACATTAAATATGCTGGCCTCTAGAACAGTGAGAAACACACTTCTGTTGTTTATCAGCTACCCATTTATAGAATTTTAATATACTAGCCCAAACGGACAATAAATAGATTAGTCTCATGTTGGCTCCATATGCATGACTTTGTCACATGACCTTGTCATGTAGGATATGAGAGGGGCTTACCTTTAATTTCTCAGGATCCATTTCCTTAGCCATCTCCTCCTTTCTCATTTCAGCTATTGTTCGAGGGCCCTTTTTGTCCTTGTGAGCATTGAAACCTTGACTAGAGAGTAGATCTTCAAAGTCAGCTGCTTTTTGTTTTCCTTCTGCAATATAATTTTTGAAAATCATTAGTTTTTATTTTTAAAATACATCATTATCTCACAGCACGTGAAGGCTCCAAGGTGCTTTTGCAAACATTAAGCCCCTTAACCCTCACAGCTTTGAGATCCATCCACCCTTTCACTCCCATCCACTCAACAATCAACACTTATTTAGCCCTACTTGCGCCAAGCACTATGTTAGGTGCTAACGATACTGTGACAAATAAGACACAGTCCCTGCCGTCCATCTGGTTCGAGTCTAGAAAGAGGCAGACACGTGAGCCAGCAGTCACAGAGTGGCATCGATGTTAGGAGCACAGTAAGCCCAAGGTGCCCCGGGTATAGTGTTGGGGGTGGGGTCCCCAACTACTGGAATTGTCTTCTATCTCCTTCAGATACACAAACCCAGGCAGTAGGACTCACAGACAGGTCACTCTAAAGGTGGGACCCCTATCATCATACTTACCCAGATTAGCTGATCCTTTTCCACGTTCAGCCTGAGCCCCAGGCATGGCTGAGAAGCTCACATTGTAGTTGGGTCGGTTCTGGGGAGATGAGTGTGGCATGCCGGGCTGTGGCTTAGACTGTGACTGCTGCCAGTTGTAGCCACCTCCCTGCTGCCACCCTCCACCCATAGGCTGGGGAGATGCTTTCTGTGGCGAGCTGAGAGGCGGAAACCCTCCACCCAACCCAGTTGGTGTGGTGGGTTTGCTGGCGAATGAAGAACTACCTACAGAACGAAAGGGAGAGAAAAGGAAGGCTGTTTTGAGTGTTTTCTAACTCTTGAGTCTTGATATAATGTTTGCAATGATTTCAATGGAAAATGCCCTAACTGAGAGCATAATTAATCTTCCTAACACGTAAAGAAATGGCAGACATAGAATATTATTTCTTTAATCCCCACAGTGACATTTTTAAGTGTACAGTGATAACCTCATCTTTTTCTTCAGATGGACAAACTATACACAGCTCAGAGTAGTTAAGGAGTTTTCTCAAAGTTATACACAACTGGGACGCAAATCCAGATCTCTGACTCTAAGCTGTAAGGGGCTGGCTCCTTCCACTGCACCATCCTCCTCACCCTTCCACTTTCTAGGCAGATTCTATTTCTTCACTGCATTAAAAACTACCAAGTAATAAGAACTGGGAATAAAACTAAGTTCACTCAGTAAGATGTTACTTAAACTTCAGTCATCAGGCTTAATCATTGTATAATACAAGCATGGTTAGAATCCTAGAGTAAATAAAGATGTTTCAAAGTTTCACAAGAAGGTTCAGTTTTACATTATTTGCATTTCACTGCAAGAGAGCAAAACTGCCATCCCCCTGACAACTTTGAACAGAACAGAGAATCTTATTCAAACTTTTAAAAATGATGTTACTGGGGAACCAGCAGTTAGCGTAATGGCTATGTCGCTGGACTCCCACGTAGTCGACCGCAGCTTGCGTCCTGGACCCGGTGGCTTAAAACTCACGCTGGGCACGTGTGCGTGCGTGCCCAAGATCCCGAGAGGAGAATGGAGGAGAAGGGATTGCGGTGTGACCATTCCCCCTGGTGGGTGATTTCTCTCTTTCTGTCTCTAATGTCTCTCTCTGTCTGTCTGGCGAGTGCATGCGCCCTATAGCAAAAATCTCTCCAAAAAAAAAAAAAATGATGTTACTGGGGCCAGCAAGTGGTGTGGTGATTACAACAGCTAGACTCCCATATGGCCGACCATGGTTCAAGTCCCAGATGTGGTAGCTTGAAAAGCATGCTGGGTGCATGTGAATTTATGCCCAAAATTCTGAGAGGAGAATGGAGAAGGGCTTGCGGTGTGGCTGTCCACATTTGGGGAGTGATTTCTCACTTTCCCTCTTTCTGTCTCTCTCTTCTCCAGCAAGTGCATGTGCCCTATGGCAAAACCTAAAAAAGGTGGGGGGGGAAGGTGTTACTTTGTGCCAGGAAATTAAATAGAATCCTGATTCTCTAATCTCCAATCTTTTAAGCACTCACTGCATACATGCTAGGCTGTTCCCAAAGCATAAAGACCGTTGTATTTAAACAGGCAAAATGAGAATCAGAAATGTAGTGATCTCCTAGAGTCTTTTCATGCCATGAGCTCAAAATAACAAGGATTAAAAAAAAATCTAACTTTTATATAGCTCTTTAGAGTTTACAAAATACATTTCTGTACATTACTACGTTGGATTTACATGACTTCCTTAAGAGAGAAGTAGTATTACTGGCTCCACTTTGAAGCTGGGAAAACTAAGACTCAGCGATATTTACTGACATGTTCATAATCACACAGGGAGTTCATGGAGTTGGGACTTGACCATATGCATCCCAACTCCAAACGTCATGCTCATTTGCTGTGTCCCTGACGTCTCATTGCTCCACACATCTCTGAGTCTTTCACTACAATTTCTCTCCTACAGTTTCTTCTTTCTATAGATACTCCTCCTCTTTTCTGATTCAGGGACGCTTCTTTCCTTCTCCACGCAAAATGTTTTATTATGGCCATTGAACCTGGAGTCCATGTGAGTTTGAATCTCGGGTTTATCACTCTGGTATGCATGTATTCATTCATTCATACAATGATTCATCAGTATTTGCAGAACATCTGCTATGTGCCAGGTACTATGCCGACACCAGCAATACAGCAATAAGCAAGATATAGAACATCTTTACTTTTTGAAATCTTCACCCCTTTGCACCTCATTTTCCTAAGAGGATATTTACTTTTCGAAATCTTCACCCCTTTGCACCTCATTTTCCTAAATGGTGAAATTTAAACTCTAACTATATCACAGGTCTACTGTAAAGACACAACAACTACCAGGGTCCATTGCAGCCCCCGAATTAAGCAAACTAAGAGGCATTACACGTCATAAAATAGTGCAAGCTCATATGCCATGCACACACCTGGTATCATAAGGGGTCCATAACTATTTGGCAGAAGCAGAAGGTAATGACAAGGCTGTACGGAAGCTTGACATCATGTTTTTCAACCTATAACTCACAGCAGGAAGCCTTTTTTCTCGTGCCCTTGGGCCCTCCTGTCAATAGCACATCAACATATACCTAAGGCTGGCTATACCTTCTGCACTGAGGTTTCACTTTATATTTTAAAGGTGCTTACTTTGTTCTAAATGTCTATGTCTATTATGTTAAGATTCAGTAAATAGAGAAAAGCCTAAAGAACAAAAATGAAAACCTTTCCATATTCATACCACACTCTCATCTATTCTTACATTTATGGAACATTACTGATTCTCTTCTACATGCCCTGCTACAGATCCAGCAGTGAAAAGGCAGGTGCTGACCTGCTCTCCTGGGGCCCATCAGCACTGCAGGACTTTCTGATGTCTCTCCCTCCAGAATATTTTCTGCACATGCTCAGCAATTGTAATTACTAATGCTAGTGAAGCAGAGAACTGACAGAAATACAAAGCCGTGCTAAACCCGGAGGCCACTGCTATCCTATTAAAATCTAAAGCAAGGCTGTGGTTCTCAGTCTTGACCGTGCATTAGAATTACCTGGGGAGCTTTTTTTTTTTTCAGTGTTTTTCATTTTGTGTCACCCCAAGAGTGGACATTTCACATTTAATTAAGGTTTCTCTCTTTCTCTCTCCTGCTATGTTATAAGCTCCAAAGAGCCAAAATGGTATCGGCCTTGATTATTTGTTAGATCCTGAATATTTGGCATGTGGCAGTTACTCTAAAATACCTCCTGAGAGTTAAGGCTTTAGGGTCAAAAACCGTTGCCTAGGTGAGCTGATGTGATATGTCTTTTCCATCTGCAGCTTCACCAGCCTCTAAACCTGTTTCTGCTTCAGAGTCTCTAAGACATCCTGGTAAGTGTGGGAAGGATTCAAATTCCTCTCACTTAATTTCCCTTTAACTCCACTAGCAGCTGCGGCTGATTCTCTATTAAATATCAGGTAGTTCTTCCGCCTTTACTGAGTTTTAACCATCACCTTGTCTTACAGCAACCTGAAGCAGGCTCTTCCCCTGGCCACTCTCGCCCCCATTCTTATTGATTCTCGATCACCTATCCAGAGTCATCCTCCTAAAATGCAAACCTAACTGCTTCCCAATTTGCACTCAGGCTGAGTTCAAACCAGTCCTGAAATCTTTCATGAATCAGCCTTACCTGTCTCTAGCTCATTGTGGGCACTTTAAACATGCAAAGTAGTATATGTAGAAAGAAGGACAGAAAAAGGAAAAATCACAATTTTGCAAACATCATAGTAATAACCATTTCATCCAACAATCATTAATAAATGCTAAAACCACTGGGTAAAAGTCAGATGGAAATAATGTGTTCTCAAATAAAATGATCTCAAATAGGGTACTCTCACAACACCTCCCCAGTTTACTTCCTCATTACGAAGGGAAGATGGCAACTCTATAGTGAAGAAACCTTGCAAAAACCGTCAAAATCAAGTGATCAAAATTAACAACAAACCCCAATTGAGACTTTTTCAACTGGCCTATGCCCTTCAATGTCAGAAAAGGCAGAGGAAGCTGAGGAGTGATTCCAGAATAAAGGAGTCTAACAGACATGACAACTAAACGTAAGATATGATGTTGGATTTTACCATAAATCTTATAAAATTCACGTCTCTAGAGAGGGCTTCCCTAATCAACTGTCATCGAAAAGAAAACTCCAGTTCATCCATCACTCACCATCTCCTTCCTTCCCTTATTTTTCCTTTTCCTTTTCTTTGCTTTTATTTTTTTTTTCCATAATACTTGGACATATTACTTAACCCCAGTTTTCTCATCAGCAAAATGGGGATAATAATGACCCCTACTTCAAAAAATCATTCATAAGATTAAGTAAAATGATATATGTAAAATACATAAAATAGTGCATAATATATATTGGGTCATCAGGAAAGTCATGACATATTTTTGCATAGAAAAACATCATGACTTTCCCAATGACCTAATAGGAAAGTCCTCAATAAACATAATTTAAAAAAATTTTTTTGACATTATATTATATATTCATTTTTCATTTATTTCCTCTTCTAGACTATATGCTTTATTAAATCAGGAGTAGTTTTGGTTTTGGTTTGGCTGGGTTTTTTTAATTAAATATTGCTAGCACATAAATTGCACTTAGTAAATATTTGTTGGGTGAATAAACGCATTTTAAAAATGAACAGTAAATGACACGTTAAGTAGAATTTCTCTTAATGTTATTATTTTAAAAATCTAAATGTACATTACACACAAAGTAAGATGGGGAAGAAAATGACTTTGTAAATGTAATACTTGTTAAATAGGGAAAAAAATGAGTCTCATGAGTGTAGGATGGAAGGTCAAGATTCTGACAAATTATCAATGAAAATAGTAGCCATTCTTATGTTCCCTGCTAATTGGCTATAAAATGCCCAGGAGGGCTTTCTGAGGACACAGACTATCAATATGGCCAGCATAAACCTTGGCGTCAAGGCCACCTCGTCATTATTTAACAATTCTACACAACCCTAGAAAAAGCAGGGGAAAGGAGGAAGTAGTTCTCCCATAGGAGTCCAATGACCTACTTCTTGGAACCAGATTCCTTGAAAAAATGGGTTAGAGAACTCTGGTTTTTATATCCCTATTAAAGAACATCACCATAAGCATGGATTAGCAGAAGTTTTGTTTTGTTTTGTTTTGTTTTTTTGCAGTAGTCAAACTCCAAGGAACCCAGTGTTTCACAAACTTACTTGATCACAGAACACTTAACCTGTAACAATTATTAAGATATGTTGAAAACCAATCCAGAAATGGTATTTAGAGAAGCTATTTTCTGTATAGTATTTTACAAATTGGCAGAGTACACTGTAGTTAGTGGGGGAGGGTAAAAGCGTGAAGATCTGTCAAATACAGTCACAGTGACATTTTTGCATGGTTGTCATCATGTGGCATGAATCTATCTGACCAGCTTCATCTCAGTGTTTGCCTACACATTACCTTTAATGCAGCCCAATTTTGTTGTCCTGTGCCTCAGGAAGCTCTAACTATTCAAATTTCTCACACGAAATTAGGACTTGAGATATTAATTAATAGACGTAATGTCCAATCTAACTTTTTTTTTTTTTTGGAGAGGTTTTCGCTATAGGGCGCGTGCGCTCGCCAGACAGACAGAGAGACATAAAGACAGAAAGCGAGAAATCACCCCCCAGGGGGGATGGTCACGCCGCAATCCCTTCTCCTCCATTCTCCTCTCGGGATCTTGGGCACGCACGCACACGCACCTGGCGTGAGATTTAAGCCACCTGGTCTGAGACACGAACTGCTGTCGACTACGTGGGAGTCCAGCGACATAGCCATTACGCTAACTGCTGGTTCCCTCCAATCTAACATTTGATGCCTGTTTTTTTTTTTGTTTTCTTTTGCTTTTTGTTTTTAAGCCAGTTTCAGGTTTCAGAGGATAACTTAAAAATGCCTATTTTAGGTCCCAGGAAAAAATAATAGCTCATTGTAATGCCAAAGATTTAGATTTGAAGTTTTGTAGCTCTAAGGAAATGTTATTTATATCTTAATCTGCCAAATTGGTACCTAGGGTTCCAAGGTCGGCAAAAGGATCCAGAGTCTGGGGTTTGTTGTGATGAATGGGAGTGCCATGTGAGGATCCTGTTGGGCTGGTGGCAGCTGACTTACTTCCCATTCCAAAACCTCCTGAAAAAGAAATAAGACCATTGAAAATGAGCTCATTGTTAGAGGTTAAGTTTTAAAATGGAAAATCCCAGAACTACTGTTTATTTGTCTCTAAGGCAAATTAGGACAGAGTTTGGAAATGTCTAAGAAGTTGCTAAGTAGGACTAGCACCAGCAGTTGGCATAATGACTATGTCACTGGACTCCCATGTAGTTAACCATGGTTCAAGTCCCGACCTGGTGGCTTAAACTCATGCCAGGCACGTGTGCGTGCATGCCCAAGATCCTGAGAGGAGAATGGAGGAGAAGGGACTGTGCCATGGCCATCCCCCCTGGGGGGTAATTTATTGCTTTCTGTCTCTCTGTCTCTCTTTCTCTCTGTTTTTCTGGTGAGTACACACACCCTATCACAAAAACCTCTCAAAAAAAAAAAAAAAAAAAAGAAATTGAGAAGTTGCTAGGCCCTGTTTCTCTGACTTGGCCAAATGGTGACCTAGAGCAAAGACAAAAAAGATATACCCTATGTTCTGGCCACACTTGCAAACTGCTATTTGTAGGGTTTACCTATCATGCCACCTGACTTTATTCTTTCCTATAGGATTTAGAGTCAAGTCTGGATCTGAATTTTGACTCTGCCACTTTATAACTGAAAAACCTTGGGTATCTTGAGTAATGTCTTTGAGCTTCAACATTTTATCATTTGTTTACAAAAGGAAAATTTAAAAAAAGAAACAATGTAAAACCAAAATTACAGCCAACAAAAGAAAAATAGGCAAAATGTCCTACATCAAACTAAAAATGAAAAATAGACAAAAGATACTACATCAAACTAAAAACTTAAGCATGTCAAAGAAAACAATTAACAGAGTAAAAAGGCAACCTAGGGAATGGGAGAAAAATCTTTGCAAATTATACAAAATAACGTGTTAATACACAAAATATATAAAGAATTTATATAACTCGGAACCAGTAGTTAGCGTAATGGCAATGTCGCTGGACTCCCATGTAGTCAATCCTGGTTCGCGTCCTGGACCCGGTGGCTTAAAACTCATGCCGGGTGCATGTGTATGCATGCCCAAGATCCTGAGAGGAGAATGGAGGAGAAGGGATTGCGGCATGGCCATCCCCCCTGAGGGGGTGATTTCTCGCTTTCTGTCTCTCTGTCTCTCTCTGTCTGTCTGGCAAACACATGCACCCTATAGCAAAAACCTCTCCAAAAAAAAAAAAGAACTTATATAAAATAACCTGACCTTAAAATGGGTGAAGGATTCGAATACATTATCTCCAACAAAGGTTTACAAATGGCCAATGAACATAATGAAAGATACTTAGCATCACCACTTATCAGGAAAATGCAAACCAAAACCACACTGCAATCTCACCTTACACCTATTAGAATGGCCATTATCAAAACTAAACAAAAACTAATAAGTGTTGGTAGAGATGTGAAGAAATTGGAAACCTGTGCACTCTTAAGAAATGTACAATGGTGCAGCCGCAGTGGAAAATAGTATGGAAATTCCTCAAAATTTCAAAACAAGGGACCAGCAGTTAGCGTAATGGCTCTGTCACTGAACTCCCATGTAGTTGACCGCGGTTTGAGTCCCAGACTTGGTGGTTTAAACTTACACCAGGTGCATGTGTGTGCATGCCCAAAATCCTGAGAGGAGAATGGAGGAGACGGGATTGTGGCATGACCATCCTCCCAGTGGAGTGATTTCTTGCTCTCTATCTCTCTCTGTCTTTCTGGTGAGTGCACACACCCTATAGCAAAAACCTTTAAAAAAATTTTCAAAACAAAACTACCATAAGATCCAGTCATCCCACTCCTAGGTATATATTACAAAAAATTAAAAGCAGGATCTCCAAGAAATATTTGCGCATCCATGTTCATTGCAGCATTTCTTTACAATAGCCAACAGGTGGAAGCAACCTAAATGTCTATGGGCAAATGAATGGATAAAAGAAGAAAAAGAAAAAAAAGTGATACATGCACAAAATGAAAGACAGTATTATTCAGCCCTAAAAAAGAATAAGATTCTGTCACATGGGTGAACCTAGAGGACATTATGCTAAGGAAAATAAGCCCATCACAAAAAGACAAACACTGTATGATTCCACCTATGTGAGGTACTTAGAATAGTCAAACTAATAGAAACAGAAAGTAGAGTGGTAGTTTCTAGGGGCAAAGAAGAAGAAAAAGGTAGGCTGTTGCTGTTCAGTAGGTGTGGGGTTTCAGTCATGTGAGATAGCAACTGGGTGGGGCTTTATTCTGGGGATCTGTTGAACCACAAAGTGCAAACAGTTGACAGTACTGTACTGTACTCTTAGAACCTGTGGGGAGGGTGAATTCTATGTTACATAAGGGTTTCTTGCTAACAATAAAAAATAAAAGAAACAGCAACTGTTTCAGAAAGTTCCTGTGATAAGAACGCTGTGTGTGTGTGTGTGTGTGTGTGTGTGTGTGTGGATGGGCATGCATGTGTGTACACATTCAACTTGCACAGTGTTGAGAATACAGTCACACAAGACAGCTCTCAATAAATGCCAGCCTAGCTATGAGAAAGAGACCTTATTTACTGCAGACAAATCCATAAGCACTATAGGATTAGGCTCATAGTGCAACAGTTGAGAACCTTGCATATGATGCTACATTCCACAAGACCCACCACAGTTTAAATCCTGATATGGTGGTTTGAAAAACTTTCCAAACTTGTGTATGTGTGTGTGTGTGTGTGTGGTGTGTGTGTGTGTGTGTGTGCGCGCGCGCGTGCACGCGTGCCTAAAATCCTGATGGGATAGAGGAATGGAGAAAAAAGGACAGTGGTGTGGTCAGGCCCCATTAGAAGGTGCTCTTTCTTTCTGTGACTTTCTGGTAAGTGCAAATGTCCTCTGACATTAAAAACAAACAAACAAACAAAAATGCACTGTTTAGGGTTCAAATGTCCCCAAAAAAATCATGTGTTGAGATATGGTTCTGATGCAATGAGAGTGTACTTAATCCAACTATGATTAGATTGGTGGGATTAGGCCAGTTAATGGCATGTTGGTTAAGGCAGTTGGATCCCATGTGGTTGATTGTGTGGTCTGAGTCACAGGCCCTAGAGGCTTAAGAAACATGCCAGGCATGTGTGTATGCATGCCCAAAATCCCAAAAGGGATTTCTCTCTCACACACACACACATGCTATGGTGAGTGCACATTCACTTTGGCAAATTGTAATAAATAAAATAAAGATTAAATGTGGGACCTTTGAGAGGAAATTTTAAGATTAAGGTCATTAGGGCTGGGCCCCCATAACGGACTCTGGTAGGTTAATAAGGAGAAGGAATGGGATGAAGACAGAGACACAGGAACACAGACGCATGCTCTCTTCTCCATCACATTGTAATGCAGTCAGAAGACCCTCACCACATGAAACCCCTGAATTTGGGCTCCAAACTGTGAGCGAAATAAATCTCTATTTTCTTAAGTTACCAAGACTCAGTATTTTCGATTATCAACAACAGAATGGAGTAGGAGGCATGTCACTCCTTGATCCCAAGATATACTATAAAGCTCTGATCATCAAAATGGCATGGTATTCATCAAACATCCAAATATCCGGATAATTGGCATTCCAGAAGGTGAGGAAACCCATAAGGGCATTGATAATCTATTCCATGAAATCCTGCAAGAAAACTTTCCAAACCTAGAGAGACATTCGAAGATCCAGTCCCAGGAAATACAAAGGACCCCAAATAGAATCAACCCAAGAAGATCTTCTCCAAGACACATTATAGCCAGGTTGACCAAAACTGCAGACAAAGACAAGATACTAAGATTAGCAAGAGAAAAACAGCAAGTTACCTACAAAGGACATCCCATCAGGCTAACAGCAGATCTCTCATCGGAAACAATAAAAGCGAGGAGAGAATGGGAAAATATATTCCAAGTGTTAAGAGAGAAGCAGTTTCAGCCAAGAATACTGTATCCGGCAAGATTATCTTTCAGGTGGGAAGAAAAGACAAGAACATTCTCAGATAAACAAAACCTGAAAGAATTTACCAGCACCAGACCAGACCTCCAAGAAGTTCTCAAGGATGTGCTGTATCAGGAAAACTAAACGCAGATACATGGAAATAAGAGTCCAAAAACTGAGAAAGTAGCTAACTTAATCATAGGGACAAGTCTGGAGTTGAATACTATATCCCAGAATTTAATCAGGAAAATTGGGCCAAAAAATATATGAGGAAATGTTCAACACCCCTCATCATAAGGGAGATGCAGATGAAAACCACAACCAGATACCACCTAACTCCTGTTAGAATGGCAAAGATTAAGAATATAAAAAGTGATAAGTGTTGGCGGGGATGTGGTGAAAAGGGAACCCTCCTACACTGTTGGTGGGAATGTAAACTAGTTCAACCACTGTGGAGAACAATATGGAGGTTCCTCAGAGATCTACAAATAGAACTGCCATTCGATCCAGCAATCCCACTTCTGGGTATCTACCCAAAGGAAAGGCGAATGCTCAGTTGGAAAAATGCTTGAACATCAATGTTTAATGCAGCATTATTCACGATTGCCAAGACAGGAACTGACCTAAATGTCCACAAACTGATGAATGAATTGAAAAGGTGTGGCACATATACTCTATGGAATACTACTCAGCCATAAAAAATAACAAGACCTTGGCATTTGATAGAAAGTGGTCGGATATGGAGGATCTATTGCTGAGTGAAGCAAGCTAGGCTATGAAAGAAAGATATTGTATGTATCCACTTAATATATACCAACTATCCACACTCTATGGTAGAGAGCAAAAAATTGGAAGACATAAAAGCAGTGAAGGTACTTAATGAGGATAAGACAGTGTGTAATGAGGGGGGTGAAGAGAAGAGTATAGAGAAAGATAGCAAGAGAACAAATAGAGAGGCATGACATTAGTGGAACACAGATATGGTTTATTACCTGTTGATGATGACGTGTATAGTATTCTCAAGTGGAGTGGTGTGAGAAGTATTTCATGATGGGTAAAATCTTTTTACAAGCAAAATGAGAAATACTGATTGACTGGTTAAAAAAAAATTGGAAAAATAATAATAATAATGATCAGGAAAAACAATGAAAAGATATTGAATGATGATGTGAGGATGTTAATGTCTCTGTATTTACTGACATGCATGGCATTAAAGCAAAGTAATACACTGTAAAGTTATATGCAATTCAATGTAATATAGACAAGATTATGATGATAATAAATAAATTTTAAAAAAACAGAATGAACTAGAACAAGTACTTTGGGAAAAAAGAAAGAATATTCACATTTATTCACCTTCAACTCTGCTGTAAACTTACATACAAGTTATTTAACTTAAACTTATGCAACTATGTGGGGCAAAAATCATCCCTGCTGTACAGATTTAAAAAAAAAAAACACAGAGGTTCAGGCTTGTTCAAAAAAATCCAAGCAATTGTAAGTGATAGAGTTAGTAATACCTCTGTACCTTTCTGATTCTATGGTCAAGACAGACATTCTGCAAATGAAACTTAGAAAAGTTAAATGACACAAAATAAGCCACACTATCAAGTCAACTGCAATGGGAAAAGATCCACCAGAAAATATTATTTCTTAAGTTTACTTATTGTATTAATGACAGAGAACATGTGTATACAAGCACATGTGTATGTAAAAAAGTGAGAGAGAGCACCCTTGACAAGGCCTCATCATGCCATGATCTTCTTCCTCTAGCCCTGTAGTTCCTCAGGCATGCACACACACACATGCCTGGCATGTTTTCAACTGGGAATCTGAACCCGCAGCCAGCACGTGGCTTCCAGCACTGTCAACGACTCTTTCAGAGGGCTGTATATTTTCTAAGTACTCATTTCATCTTAGGTGAAGAATTGTGCCTTAGCGATTGATGAACTACCTATGGTAAATCACCTGCTGACTTTTACCTGGTTTAGTATGCCAGTCCCAACCTCCTGCAACATCTGGCTGAATGTTCACAGCGGGTGTACTAGAAGCTACAAATAGAGAGAAGAAAAAGAATAAGAACAAGATAGTTCAGACCTAGTTTTCTGAGATCGCACAATACTATTCCTTCCAAGAAGTCTGCATGACCCCGCAAGGACCCCAAGGAATTCAGTTCCTCCTTCTGAGTGCTCATCAGACTTTAACACTTGATATTCTCTCCCTTTGTCTATGGTCACTCACAAGTCCTATATATTTGTCCCTCTTCCTTCTTTGGCTCACCTTTGTTTTACCTCTACGTTCACACACTTTGAAGTATAACTGCGCATTTGTCTGCCCACTCCCTCAGTAACTTGTGAGTCCTTAGGAGGCAAGAACTAGTTTATCATAGTGTATGCCCTACCTCTAAACTTAATACAGAGTCAGCAGACAATAAGAAAAGGAGGAAAGAGGCCAGCAGGTGGCATGGTGTTTCTGGTGGCATGGCGGTTAAAGCGCTGGACTCCCACATGGCCAACCCCGATTCAAGTTCTGAATCTGGTGGCTTGAAAATCACACTAGGAGCATGTGTGTGCATGCCCAAAACCTCCAGAGGAAAAGGGAGTGGGCTGTGGCCATTCCCTCTGGAGGATGGTTTCTCACCCTCCCTCTCACTGTCTCTCTCTGGCAAGCGCATGGACATTAATAAGTACAGTGGGAAGGAAATGTAGATTAGGGGCAAGAGATGAGTTGTGATATGAAATGGAGCATAGTAAGTGCAATGGAGAAGAAGACTTTTTTATTTACTTTTTTCTTTTTTTTTAAGAATTATTTTATTGGGACCAGTAGTTACCATAATGGCTATGTCGCTGGACTCCCACGTAGTCGACCACAGTTCGAGTCCCGGACCCGGTGGCTTAAACTCACGCCGGGCACGTGTGAGTGTGTGCCCAGGATCCCGAGAGGAGAATGGAGGAGAAGGGATTGCGGTGTGGACATCCCCCCTGGGGGGGGTGATTTCTCACTTTCTATCTCCCTGTCTCTTTCTGTCTGGCAAGCGCACGCACCCTATAGCAAAAACCTCTCCCAAAAAAAAGAAAGAAAAAAAAAGAATTATTTTATTTAATTTCATTCATCATCATTGCTCTTTTTTTTATTTTCAGTTTGACCACAGAGCAACAGAAAGAGAGAGAGAGGGAGACAGAAAGCAAAGACACAAGCTGCCAAGTCCAGGATTTGAACCGTGGTTGGCCATTTGGGATTCCAGTGCTTTAACCATTATGCCACCTGACCCCTCCTGTTTTAAATGTATTTTAATTTTATTTTAAATTTATGTATTTTACATTAATTCACTGTATATTGAGAAAAGACTCAAAGGAAGTGAAGGAGTTAGCCATGTGGGTATCTGTGGAAGGGTATTTGAGGCAGAAAGAATAGCCAATGTGACAGGGAAGAGGCCAGTGTTGATGGAATGGAGGGAGAAAGTAGGAGAATCTGAAAGCTGTGGTCATAGGTATTGGGGTGCTAGAACACATAGGGCCTGTGGCAAAGACCTTCAAAAGAAAGAAAAGAAAAAGTGGGGGACTTGAATTCAATTCACCTTAGCTATACGCACTAGCAAGTGTACAAGAGGCTTGATCCACTTAGAACTGAAATTTTGTTTTCTCCTCTGCTGTGACATGAATTGAGAATGATGAGTCATTCAGAACACGGATTAGGCACTGATGACATCCATTTCCTACGGCTGTGAGGGATGTGTCAACTGTCACTCAGGGTAAAGGCATCACAGCTCTGAAACAGATCACTCTGACCCCTCTCCACGTTCTAAGCAAACATATAATTTAGAAGAAGTGTTCAGATAAAGAGAATAAGGTGTATTAGAGGAATACACGTTGGTAGTAAGTTTTTCCTACCTCTACAAAACGGATGTAAGAAACAGGATGCCACAAAGAAGAATTTCTTTCTAAGGCACCTCTAGGGTTTTACCCATAAAAATTGGTGAGTAAAATGCAGATACTAAATTGTTATTGTGGGTGGATTTCAAACACATCCTCCACCACCACCAGACGAATCATCAAAGCAGCCATACAGCTTTCTAAGCCTTATAGTAACCTGTTTTGTTTTCTTAGAAAAACTAAGCAATCTTGTACCTTCCCATAAAAAAGAACATGCTATTAAAAAAAAAAAAAGAACATGCTATTATCAGCAATAACAGTTCTTTCTTTTCTATTCCTCCCTTCTCTTTTTCAATAGTAACTCATGAAAACTAAGACTATTTTGCTTACATCTGCTGTCTGATTCCCTTTAAACTCTGATCTGAGACTTATATCCAACTAGGATGTAGAATAAGCACTAGAACTTCAATCTTACTACTAATCAATCCCACGAATTCTTAAGATGATCTACTATATAGATGATACTACATAAGGAACTAGAAAACTAAAAGATGCATTGTCTACCCTCATGAAACTTAAAACCTTGGCGCCAGCATAGTAGTTAAGGTGCTGAATTCCCACATGGCTGACCCCAGTTCAAGTCCCAGGTCTGGCAGCTTACTTTCTCACTTTCTCTCTCTCTCTCTGTCTCTCTCTGGTGAGTGCATGTGCCCTATAGCAAAAGTAAATAATACTACTAAATTAAATAAATAATTATTTTTTAAAAGAAACTTAAAATCTTTTGGAACAATAGTAATACACAAATAAAAATATTTTAATCTTTAATATTTTTCATCTTCATTTTTCCTTCAAGTATGGTTATTTGTCTGTTCTTACAAAACCAAGTCCCCAATGAGTATTCTCCTAATAATAAATGCCAATAACTATTTGTTGAATTTAATGGCAGTATTTCCCAATTTTCAGAACACACTGTGATGCTTTGTAGAAAGCTAGGGGGAATACTCCGAGGACTTGGACATGGGCAACCTGGCATTCCACAGCTGACATCTGAGTCTCACCTCTATGCTATCCTGTAAGAGGATGATACAAGTGACTCGTTAGTAGTGGAATGATGACTGCTTTTCTGGCAAGGATGGTGGAAAATTTTTTTCACTCACCAGCATGATACAAACAAAGTGAGAAATGTGGCCACAAAACTGAAGAGTACTAACTGGCCTAAGCTGGGTGACAAATAACATTCTAACCAGCTCACAAGAAACAGAGAATTAGATCACAGCCAGGCGGAAATATGAACATCCATGCCCATGGGGCACAAAAGGTAGTACTCTAACCAAACAATCACTTCAAAGTTTTAAAATCAGGAAAATGTATAATTTTTAAGTAGTACCACTATGCAGCGAAGAAACTTTGAGAGGAAAACATAAGTTAATTCATATTTACATTTGTATTCATATTTACATATTAGATAGAAAGATAATTCCTACTATGCGCCAGCAATTCTTCCAGCCACTAGGGATGCAATGAGGAACAAAACAAACAAAAATCCCTTTTATAAAACTCATGTTGTGGTGGGTAGAGACAGACAACAGAAAAATAAACCTAACACAAAGCAAATTATTCCGTACACTAGAAGCTAATAAGCATAGTGGGAAGAAAATGTAGATGAGGGCAGGAGATGAGTTGTGATTTGAAATGGAACAGAGTAGATGCCATTGAGAAGATGGCGTTTGGGCAAAGACTCAAAAGAAGGGAAGGAATTAGCCATGTGGGTGTCTTGGGAAGGGTATTTGAGGCAGAGAGAACAGCCAACATGATAGCAAAGAGGTTAGTAGGGCTGGAATGGAAGGAGAAAGTAGGAGGCTCTGAAAACTGGGATGTCGGAACACACAAGGCATATGTAGGCTCTCGGGAGGTCTTTGGCTTTCATGCTGAGTGAAATTAGAAGCCATTCTGAGCAAAGAAATGACATGACTTACATTTTAAATGAATGAACAAAAAACAACAACTTTAACCTACATCCCTGTGTCTTTCCTCCCACAAGTAATCAACATCCAGTTGGAAGACTCTTAAATGGGCACCACTCATGGGTGAGAGGTGAATTTTTTGTATGTTGTCTAATGGATCCACTTCCAATAGTCTGGGATCAAACACCAATTGGAAATTACTCATAAAAGTTGTTCTGTCTTGATTTCTCTTTTTAACCATGTTACAATTTGACCAGGACTTTAGAACTTCCTTTTGCATTCGCATGGTTTCCAACAAAGTCAAGCTGATGACTGAATTATGTTCTATAGGCAAGATCAGGGAGCGTACATTACCCTAAAGACTGAGGCCAATAATGTTCCATGACCTTCAACATCGGAGTGAGCTATAATTCTCTTTCTCAAAGTCATTTGTCCTTCACTGAAGAGCCCTGATTTTGACCAATTTTACCAAAGTGATGTACTTTTGCACTTATAAACGGGATGCAATTACTATTTGAATCTCTAACACAGAAATATGTGTGCCACATATGTAATTTTAAGTTTTAAATATCTAATTTTAAGTTAGTCACATGTAAAAAGGAAAAATATATTGGTGTATTAATTTTAATAATATATTTGATATAGTACAATACATTCAAAAAATGTTTAAAGGTTTTTGCCATAGGGCATGTGTGTTCACTAAAGAGACAGAGAGACAGTGAGAGGGCAAATGAGAAATCATTCCCAAGGAGGGACAGCCATGCTGCAATCCCCTCTCCTCCATTCTCCTCCTGGGATCCTAGACACACATGCACACAAATCAAGTATGAGTTGCAAGCAACTGGGTCCAGGACTCAATCTCCATGTGGGAGTTCAGTGCCTTAACCACCATGCTACCTGCTGGTCCCCCAAAATATTATTTTAACAAGTAACCAATATAAAAATATTAATCAAATATTTTATTTTCTTCTTGTACTAAGTTTTTTTTTTTTTTTTTTTTTTAAAGAATTATTTTATTAAACTTTATTTTATTTTAATATGACCAGATAGGGGCAGAGAGAGAGAGAGACAGACAGAGAGAGATGGAAAGTGAGAAAGCAAGCCGCCAGGTCCAGGACTTGAACCATGGTAGGCCATGTGGGAGTCCAGCACCCTTAACCATAATCAAATATTTTATTCCCTTCTTGTACTAAGTTTTGAAATCAGGTATGTATGCTATAATTAGAGTGCACATGAAACTGGATTAGCCACATTTCAAGCACTCAACATCCATATGTGGCTAGTGGCTACCATAATAGACAGACTAGCTCTAATGTGCTCCACACTCTGTTCTCTGGCATAGTAATTTTGTGGGATACTGATATATTTCATTGATTAAAGACTCATATTTTTCTATTTTTCAGATTTCTCCAAACTGGATGTATATTCCAATCAAAAAGAGTAGTGTTTCTTTCTTTTTTATCAGTACATAATATAATGATATATCCTAAAATAGTGCCATATAATCTGTCCTCAGAGCTGTGATGCAAAAAAGAATTCCACAGTCTAATAAGTGTTAGGAATGCTGAGTAAAACAAGGTTAAGCAGACTTTTTTCCTGAAAGACATCCCAGAACTTTTAATAGGCTAAGGTGAATTGCTCATTTCTAACAGATTCATTATGTAGCTTTCCCCTCCGAAGCGTCTACAGGATGCTTTAATGAGAGCACCTTTTGTACAGTGTGGAAAATTATGTTCCCCTGAGCACAATATAAAATACTTCCTTACCATGCACTGTAGGTGAAGGACTTCTTGTAGGCTGAAGAAAGGGGTCACTGGAAGCACTGGATGTGTTCAGAAAAGAACCAAGCAAATCTTGACCTGATGGTTTGGAAGGTGCTCCAAATGGGTCAAAGGTGGCACCTAGAAAATATGGGAAGAAATGTATTTATTCATCCTATGAATTCATTCATTCACTAAATATTGAAGAGTTGTTCCTATTGCCACGCCCTAGGCCAAACACTTGAAAAGTTAGGATAATATATGCCTTCTGGACTGCTCCATAGCCCATCCTATTCCTTTATTTAAAAAGAGAGATTTTTGCTATAGGGTGCGTGCGCTCACTGGAGAGCCAGAGAGAGACAGAGAGACAGAAAGCGAGAAATCACCCCCCGTGGGGATGGCCATGCCACAATCCCTTCTCCTCCATGCTCTTCTCAGGATTTTGGGCATGCATGCACTTGTGCCTGACCTGAGTTTTAAGCCACTAGGTCCAGGATTAGAACCACAGTCAGCTACATGGGAGTCCAGTGATATAATCATTACACCATCTGTTGGTCCCAGCCCATCCTATTCTTGAAACTCCTTCCTGAGCTTACAAAGAACCTTAAGAATTTCTGACTATGCATAAATAATTCCATTTTTGTAGACAAAGTATCTGTCAGATGAAATTATAAATTAATGAAGACTATAAATGAAGGCCTCTTTGCCTTTGGGCATCTTAATAATATGAGAAAATCAACTAAGCGTATAGGCTAGTTGAGAAGACAAAGCCAACACAGATGAATCAATAAGTAGAAAAACCATGTCTGGACTGTAGGAGGTACTCAGAGTATGAATAATACCTCTGCTGAATGAATTAGCGGACAAACGCCAGGCAGGGAACTCTGTTATTAAAATAAATAGAAAACTATATTAGCCAGGTTTTGTTTAGTTTTGTTTTGTTTTTCAGTGGTCTCTAGCTCAGTTGGAGAGCAGTAACAAAAACTGAACTCCTCTCAAGTTTTTTTCTACAGACCTCAAACATTTCCAAGACATTGCCTCTCAACAACCTGTGAGAAACTAGCTGCAGATTTAGGGAAGTAAAGGAAAGTTTATGACAGAACTAAGACTGGAAGAAAGTGGGAAGCTGAGGTTGAAACTGTTAATATCATGTTATTTCTTAGGGTTTACATTGTCTTTCATTAAAAAATACCTCATCTGATCCTCAATATCTTCCTGTCAAACGAGAGTGGTATTAGGAGAGTACTATGTCATAAAGTCACAGTGAAAACTCATTAAACCACATAGCCTACCTGGGTTTTATTTTTTGTTTTGTTTTGTTTTAGAGAGATTTTTGCTATAGGTGGAGACACTTACCAGAGAGACAGAGAAGAAAGTGAGTCCACCCCTAAGAGAGGACTGCTATGCTGCAAACCCTTCTCCTCCATTCTCTTCCCAGAATCTTGGGCACACACATACATGCATCTGGCATGAGTTTTAAGCCACTGGATCTGGGACTCGATCTGTGGTCAACCATGTTAGAGTCCAGTGACATAACCATTATACCATCTGCTGGTCTCCCTATCTGGATTTTAAAAGTGAGATTCATGGGGCCAGCAGATGGTAGGTAGATAAGGTGGTGGACTCCCACATGGCCAACCACAGTTCAAGTCCTGGAACTGGAGACTTGCTTTCTCACTTTTCATCCATCACTCTCTCTCCTTCTTTCTCTCTCTGGTCAAATTTTAAAAAAATAGTAATAAATAAAATTAAATATTTTTTTTAAAAAGTGAGATTCATTTATTAACTGGTCTAATGTTTCTCATTATTGCTTTGAACATTTTAAATACCAACTTATGTTAAATTAGAGTCATTCTCCAATAACTAAAAGTGAACAGATGATTGTCACAAGAGCTCAAATTTCAGTCTTTATAGTAAGGCTAGTAAGAATTATTCTCATTTTATAACTAAGTAGGTTCATTTTTCAATAAAGCTACACAAGTATTTGTTAGTTCTGGAATGTAGAACCAGGCCTTTAACTCTAGACTTAGTGGTCTCTTTTATTCTTAAAGAATTATTTTATTTAAGTTTATTTATTATTGTATTTCCAGTTTGATCAGAGAGAAACAGAGAAAGAGAGAGAAAGTGAGAAAGTAAGCTGCCAGGTCCAGGACTTGAACCGCAATTGACCATGTGGCAATCCAGTGCCTTTAACCACCACACCACCTTCCAGCCCAGGTCACTTTTTTCTTTTTAATTGCCAGAGGGCATGTGCACTCACCAGAAAGAGAGAGTAAGCACCCTCCGTAGAGCATGGTCATGCTGGAATTCTTTTACCTTCATGTCTCTTCTTCAGGATTTGGGGCCCACAGACATACATGCATGTGCACATCCAGCATGTTCTTCTGGCTGTCAGTCATGAGAGACCCAGCTCCCAATACGCAGTGCTTAACTATCATGCTACAGGGCCATCTCTGCACTTGGTGTTCTTTCCAATTCCATTTAGGGAACAGAAAACTTGAGGTCTAGGTCTACTGCTAGCCAGCTGGGAATCCTCTAACAAGTTAATCAAATACATTTGGGCCTTGATTTCATTGTTTATAACTTGAGACACAAAATTAACTAACGTCTAAGGCCTCTTCTAGATAGGACACTGGAACACAACTATCTGTGTGGGAGTATGATGAGTTCAATTATCAAAAGTCATACAAGGTACTTCAGCTTAGAACTCGACCACTGAGTACTATGCTATCTTAGATCTTGGGGATATTTTTCTTTTTCTTCACAATAGTTTTACTCACTTTGGTGAGTTAGAACTGGATGAAAAGTGAAGTACAGAGGAAATATCCTGGAATTCAGGGTTCCTGTATTCACACCTTGGCTCTCTCATTTGTTCCCTCAGTGTAGACGCCTGAGCCTTAGTACTTATGCTGTATGGTTCTGATACCTGCTCTCATAAAAGATGCCTCCGGCAGAACTACTGTAAGCCAAGATCAACCCAGAGCATTCTGAGAAGCAAAGGATAAGCTCGGAGAAAAAATTTCCTACAGGAGACTATGGCCTGGAGAGCTGAGATAACTCTCTACCCTTCCTACTATGATGTCATCTTAGTTAATGGTGGGACCAGCAGTTAGCGTAATGGCTATGTTGCTCGACTCCAATGTAGTTGACTGCAATTTGAGTCCCGGACCCGGTGGCTCAATCTCACGCCGGGTGCGTGTGTGTGCGTACCCAAGATCCCAGGAAGAGAATGGAGGAGAAGGGATTGTGGCATGGCCATCCGCCCGGGGGGGTGATTCCTTTCTGTCCCTTTCTCTCTCTGTCTTTCTGGTAAGTGTACGCACCTTACAGCAAAAACCTTTCAAAAAAAAAAAAAACTTAGTTAATGGTGACAGTAACAAAGGACAGCTGATTTGAGTTCATTCTTCAGAAGCTATAATAAATCTCTGTTTACCCAGTTACATTGTCTTGTAAATGTCAAAAAACTGTGGGTAACCAGTCATAGAAGGAGTTGAGTCTGTGGTCGTGAGCGGAGTGATGTTAACTGAGCCCCTTGGGTCTCAAACTCTACCTGGTGCTAACTGCTCCACTCTATTTAGCTTAGTGGCTGGCATGAGTCCCTTAAAAACATTTTGAAGTAACCAAACACTTCTCTGCATAGCTAAAGTGTATTAAAAAACAACAACAAGGGAGCCCACTCGGATGTCAATGTCAATGTCAATGCCGGAGGCGAGTTGCTGCTGGCCTGCAATCTGCATTTGAATACACATGTCAACTGTATGCTTAATAAATAAATCAGATTTGTTTTACCTTAAAAAACCAACAACAACAACAAGGGACCAGCAGTTAGTGTAATGGCTATGTCACTGGACTCCCATGTAGGCGACTGCGGTTCAAGTCCCGGACCCGGTGGCTTAAACTCACTCCAGGCATGTGTGTGTGGGTGCCCAAGATCCTGAGAGGAGAATAGAGGAGAAGGGATTGCAGCATGGCCATTCCCTCTGGGAGGTGATTTCCTGCATTCTGTCTCTCTATCTCTGTCTTCCTGGCGAGCACACATTCCCTATAGCAAAAACCTCTCAAAAAATAAAAATTAAAAAAAAAACAAAAAAACTCACTTTAATTCCAGAAAGGCATTCTAGGAAAACATGGAAAGCTTTGGAGTTAAATGGCCTAGTTCTGAACCCTGACCCCGTAAGTCACTGGCTATACAGACTTATCCTACAAATTTAACTCTAAACCTTAATTTCTTCAACTAGCAGGGAAGATAACAGAAGTTATTTATTGAGTTTCAGTAAGAATTGAACCACAGGTAGTTGTTAAATGTCATTTCCAGCAAAATAGTCATTTCCCCATAAACATTAGCTATTATTCATAATAATTTATCAGTCTACATTTTCAAAAAGTAACTAAAGCAGTACAGAGATTTATGTCCTGAGAAAAGAAAATTAAAAGTAAGAATGAGGAGCTCATATATCCACTCTTACACTACTTTATTGTCCTATTAAAATGGGCACTGTTTCTATTTTCTCTTGATTCGTCACTTAAGATAAAGGCCTCTATGAGACTTTCAGGAAACCAGAAAAGTCTATTTTATTAGGAAAATTCAATTCTACCTGCTTGGCTCTGAGGTTAAAATTCAATACTAAGAGGTACTAAGAGTACAACATGAAAAAAATTACCTTCTCCTACTCGTAGGGTTGGGGATGCGGAGGTGGAGGTGGCAGAACGGCGTGGCGTTGACTGGGTTGACGCAGGTCCACTAGGATGAAATACATCTTCCACCCCAGACTGACCAGCAGGAGAAGGACCTGTCGCACCTCCACTCCCAAACAGGTCACTCAGTAGTTCAGTATTGGTGGGAGGAGCCGGTGGCGGAGAGAAGTTCTTACTCACTGCAGATCCTTCAAGGCCCAGAAGATCCACGTCCTCAGGGGGTGGAGGGGCCGCTGGCTCCTGCTGCTTTTTGCTAGGCCTCTTTGCTCCATGATGCTTATCACCATTGGCATTGCCATGTGGACTGGAAAGGGTGAGGAGCTCATCGTCTGACTGCTCGCTTTCCTGATTCACAAGGGCTGCGTGGTCCTCCTCACAGAATGATTTCTCTGATTTCTGGTCTAAGGAAGGTCAAGGTGCCAAGAAATGCTTAGTTACTGACCACAGTATTGTGGGGGTTTTCATATTATTTGTACATAATTCCAGGAAGAGAGAAGAACTCAGCCCTGAACAGGGCTTCAGACCCTTACTGATGGGAAAACCTGATGTATTTAACATCATATTCGACCCCCATTTGTTGAGCATCTAAGAGACAGTATTCTGAGGGTAAAGAGCAGACAGTCTGGGATTGAATTCGAGCTCCAAGTCTCACCCGTTCTGTGACACCAGGCAAGGTACTTTATGTCTCTGTCCCTTGGTTTCCTCCTTATCAAAATGGGAATAATAAACAGTACCTAATTCACAGGCTACTATGAGAATTACATGAGATAATATGTGTAAAGTGCTTAGATCAATACGAAGTAATGCTTAAGTGCAGATTAGCATTATTATTACTACCAATTATTATTATTATTAATAAATTACTTTCCAGCCACTAGATGAGATACTTTGGGTGGAGGGGAAGTACCATTGTCTCTGCTTCAGAGGGTCCTTATACCAATCAGAAAGGAGATGTTCTTAGCATAAAATGGGCAGCAGGAAAGAGGTCGCTTCTGGGGAAAAACAAAGAGCCTGGAGAGTAACTTTCCAGCTCTCCCTGAGACAGATATTCCAGGCAACTTTCTTACTTAATGTGAAATAGACTACATTCCAATTGGATACAGGTCCACATCATTGATCCCCAATTCTGAAATGCAAAAAGCTATGAAAAGGGAAAGACTTTTATAAGTTTGGTGCAAACTCAGTGAGCAGAAAACTGACCAGAAAGGCTATGAAAATATTTATAGTCTTCATTTTTTCATTCAGGGTTATTATTTATATGCTCTATTTCAGAAATATGTTTGATTATAGGTTGTTTGAGATATTGTTGGGAATGCTTAAATAACATTGAGTTTATGTCCTAGATTACCTTTCTAAAAATCCAAAAAATTCTGTATTTCTGAACACATCTGGTTCAGAGAGGTTCAGATAAGAGCCTACCAGAGTTATTTTGCAATCAGTTGCTAAGACAGCAGAGGAAAGGTAAAGGTGAAATATTATTAAAAGCTGTTACTGTGAGGAAGGTAAGACAAAAGGAAAGCCTAAGGAAGGCCAAGGTGCCAAGAAATGCTTAGATAAGAGACTGTGCATCTGTGCTAAAATCAATTTCAGAGCCTACCAGAGTTATTTTGCAATCAGTTGCTAAGACAGCAGAGGAAAGGTAAAGGTGAAATATTATTAAAAGCTGTTACTGTGAGGAAGGTAAGACAAAAGGAAAGCCAATGGGAGCTGGGAAATTTACATGTTGCCTGGATCTCACTGGGTTTTTCAAGCTTAATAAGGTGCTGGTCCCATTTTTCAAAATAATGACAATATGCCTTTAAATTCAGAGGAATTCTATGGGTACTAGTGTAGTGTTTTTCCACCAAACACTAAAAACTTTCACAGGCAACAACAAACCCTATCTTATGTTCACACATCAGGATGGTTAGTCAAGAGAATTTTTAATATCCTATTGCCAAAGTCAGTTTACCACTCTTTTTGTATGGGAAGTCTCAACTATTTAATTCAACACTGAGCCTGGCATTAATCTACACTGAGCCTGGCAATTAACCTCGGCAAACACCAAAGCAAGGACGGCCAAAGTGAACTGCCAATGCCAGTCTACTGATGGCAGCAATGGCATGGGTTCTGTTGAGAAAGATTCTGAAAATATCTCCAGGTTTGAGAGAAAAGAATCCATCCATCAAGTCTCGATTTCTGCCATAGTGATTAAAGTGAGTAATGGAAACATACAGGCCAAGTGCTTGCCTTCCCTGCTCAGGAGGCTCAGATTTGTGCTGTTCATGGTTAGAACACTCTGGAGGATTACCTGATTTTGTGTTTTTCTAATATTTGGTGGGGGCAGGAGACAGTTGTTTGTGTTGCCAGCAGCCTAAATGGAGATCATCACACCTGTCCATCAGTCCAGGAAAGGTGTGGCCCAGAACACGGCACAGAGAAAAAGGCAGAGGACAGCTGAAGATGGCCTTTTGCATCATTCTGAGAGCATCGGTGGAGTTGGAGATAAAGAAGTTTTCTGGTTTTGAAAAGAGACTCAGCAGGACGTATAGAAAAGAAGGATGAAGCAACCTAGATGACTTCTAAGCACTGCCTTACTCCAGGAGACTGAGAGCTGTCTCTGTGGGAGAACCACTTAGTTATCTAACCGGAGAACGTAAAGGACTATTTATAAGTACCTTGCCAACAGAGAGAAGCGAAGAAGCCACCTTGCCCAACATGCCTGGGGTTATCTGGAGGCATATCTACTGGAGCCTGTCCTGTAAGACAAAAGGCCATGCAGCAACCGTGAAACACTGGAAATAAGTCAATGTGATGAACAACACAGAGGCTTTGCCCTGAAAAACAAAACGGCCAGGTGACTCATACCTCCTAAGGCCAGCGTATCCTGATGCTCCTGGTGAGAAGAGAAGAGGATGCTGGGGTTGACATCTTTAGTGCAGTAATGTTCCCAAGGTGGGGTTAAGTCTATCACTTTGTCATGGGGCTGTAGTTCTACATCCAGTGTCACCTGGAACAGCTGAGGGTATTTCTCTGGTACATCACATGCATCTAACTCGGGCCTAAAGAGGGATTGAAAAAAAATGAGGCCACTGAAAAATAATGAAACTAACACAATGTTTGGCACAGAAACACTACCTTAGTTTGACTTTTAAGTTAACGTAAGACACATTTTTATGGAAAAGCCAATCATTATCTAGGTATGTCACTTTTTCTTTTTTTTTTTTTTTAATTTGCTATACTAGAGTGTACTTGAACGTGCTGGAGAGAGACAGAGAGAGAAGGAAAGTGAGAAAGCACCCTTCAAGGGTGCCACACCTCAATCTCTTCTCTTCCACTTCTTCTCTTGAAGATTTGGGGTATGCACCCACATGTACCAGCATGTTTTTCAAGCCACTGAGTCTGGGACTTCAACCATGCAGTCAGCATGTAAGATCCAACCATCTTAACCACTTTGCCCCTGGTTATCTTCACTTTACTTTCCTGAGTCTCAGTTTCCTCATCTGGAGAAAGGAGAATAACGCCTGCTCAAATAATTCGGATACTACTGCATATGAAAGCATTGTAGAATGCAGGAGAGATACCCTGCCAGTATGCACTGGCATGGCCAAATCAGTTGCTAAAATAGGGAAACGGACTCAAGGCCACCGTCCTGAGTTCTTGAATATCCGTCTGTATCCTGGACCTAGAAACTCCTTTCAGTCACCCCAACTACAGCCACCTCACTGAGTTTCCTAGGCTATGCTATGATGCAGCAACTAAGGGGTAATGTGTGGTATGGAGGGGCCCTCCAGAGCCCTGCATCAGTGCCGTGGTTAAACGTCTATTCTGATGGGCCACTGATCGTATCATACCACTGATTAAAGGCCACCCCCCTCCCCAGAAAACACAAAGGGATACACAGATGCCAAGAAACGAAGTAGTAATGCTTTGTTTCCTCTTTGTTCACTCTTATTCACGTACATGGAATTTTAGACCTTTCTATTTAAAGCCTTTGATCTTTTCATACTTCTCAAGACAAAACATACCCAACAGAAAGTCATAAAATGTATTCAGCCCCTCTGTGTTAAACGACTACACTCAAATTCAGTAGCACGGGATTTCAGGGAACGCTGCTGCAGGCTGCAGGCTGCTACCGAGCTCCAACATTTCACGGCTGCACTAAAACAGATTTTTGGTCCAAGCAGCACTTACTTGGTGAACTTTAAGACTGTTGTGTCCAGTGGTATGAATCCAGTATGAAACTGAAGCTGGAATATCTGTGTGTTAGTCACCTAAAATTTTGTGGGAGAGAGAATCACGTTACAGTCAATCAGCGAAAAGAGAATCGGATCAAAAGATTACATGTCGGGTAGTTGAGCACCTGCAACTGTTTCGAAACATGAATCTTTGTTTGCGATGAGTATTAAATGATCTCTCAGCTTCATTTCTAGTTTTTCCTTTCCGTGAACCCCGCCTTGATAAGCCATTTCCTCATCTGCTAGTGTCCCATGTTCTCGCATATTGTCATACTTTGAACTCACTGCATTCCTTCTACCCAGAATGCTGTGCTCCAACTCTATGAACTGACCCTTCAAAACTGTCCTTGAAAGGTTATATCTTCTCTGTACCCTTTGTGGGCCACCACTGGCTGAAACAAACTTGTACTTGAACGTGCTGGAGAGAGACAGAGAGAGAAGGAAAGTGAGAAAGCACCCTTCAAGGGTGCCACACCTCAATCTCTTCTCTTCCACTTCTTCTCTTGAAGATTTGGGGTATGCACCCACATGTACCAGCATGTTTTTCAAGCCACTTCAACCATGCCATCAGCATGTAAGATCCAACCATCTTAACCACTCAACCATGCAGTCAGCATGTAAGATCCAACCATCTTAACCACTTTGCCCCTGGTTATCTTCACTTTACTTTCCTGAGTCTCAGTTTCCTCATCTGGAGAAAGGAGAATAACGCCTGCTCAAATAATTCGGATACTACTGCATATGAAAGCATTGTAGAATGCAGGAGAGATACCCTGCCAGTATGCACTGGCATGGCCAAATCAGTTGCTAAAATAGGGAAACGGACTCAAGGCCACCGTCCTGAGTTCTTGAATATCCGTCTGTATCCTGGACCTAGAAACTCCTTTCAGTCACCCCAACTACAGCCACCTCACTGAGTTTCCTAGGCTATGCTATGATGCAGCAACTAAGGGGTAATGTGTGGTATGGAGGGGCCCTCCAGAGCCCTGCATCAGTGCCGTGGTTAAACGTCTATTCTGATGGGCCACTGATCGTATCATACCACTGATTAAAGGCCACCCCCCTCCCCAGAAAACACAAAGGGATACACAGATGCCAAGAAACGAAGTAGTAATGCTTTGTTTCCTCTTTGTTCACTCTTATTCACGTACATGGAATTTTAGACCTTTCTATTTAAAGCCTTTGATCTTTTCATACTTCTCAAGACAAAACATACCCAACAGAAAGTCATAAAATGTATTCAGCCCCTCTGTGTTAAACGACTACACTCAAATTCAGTAGCACGGGATTTCAGGGAACGCTGCTGCAGGCTGCAGGCTGCTACCGAGCTCCAACATTTCACGGCTGCACTAAAACAGATTTTTGGTCCAAGCAGCACTTACTTGGTGAACTTTAAGACTGTTGTGTCCAGTGGTATGAATCCAGTATGAAACTGAAGCTGGAATATCTGTGTGTTAGTCACCTAAAATTTTGTGGGAGAGAGAATCACGTTACAGTCAATCAGCGAAAAGAGAATCGGATCAAAAGATTATATGTCGGGTAGTTGAGCACCTGCAATTGTTTCGAAACATGAATCTTTGTTTGCGATGAGTATTAAATGATCTCTCAGCTTCATTTCTAGTTTTTCCTTTCCGTGAACCCCGCCTTGATAAGCCATTTCCTCATCTGCTAGTGTCCCATGTTCTCGCATATTGTCATACTTTGAACTCACTGCATTCCTTCTACCCAGAATGCTGTGCTCCAACTCTATGAACTGACCCTTCAAAACTGTCCTTGAAAGGTTATATCTTCTCTGTACCCTTTGTGGGCCACCACTGGCTGAAACAAACTATTCTCACTAAAGCACTTTATCCTCCCCCTACTATGTATTATAGATATTGGCGTATGTGTGAATTTCCCTTGTGAGAAATGAGTTCTTGAAAGAACTTGTGAGAGTGAGTTATTTAAAGGCAGGGACATAGTCTTATTCTCATGAATCCTAAACATCTAGGCATTGGCTGGCGCAGACCATGCACTTAGCAAATATTTGGTGAATTAAAATACAATTACTTGCAACATTATTCCTGATAACCAAAAGAATGTCCATAACCCAATGTCCACCAACTGAGAGATGAATAAAATGTGCTATAGCCACACAAAGGAATATTTTTAGTCATATAATGGGACAAAGTACTGATACACGGCATAACATGGATGAACCTCATAAACATTACACTAAGTGACAGGAACCAGCCACAAAAGACCACACAGTGTATGACTCCATTTATATGAAATGCCTAAAATGAGCAAATCCATACAGAGAGTAGATTTGTGGTTATTGGGAAATGGGGGATGGGGAGGGGAGTGACAGCTATTAATACAGAGTTTCTTGTAGGGGTAATGAAAATGTTCGGAAATTATACAGTGGTGATGGTGGCGCCTTCTAAATGTACCAAACACACTTTAAAAGGGTGACTTATATTGTGTGAATTTTATCTCAGTAAAAAGGAAAAATGCAATCATTTAAATTTTTCTTCTTACAGTGATACAAATGAGAGACTCTAAGAAAAGCATAAGCTTCTAAAGAGCATGGTTTTCTAAAACGTCTAGGGCTGCCACCTTCCGACACAGTCCTCATGCCAAGGACTTTGGGTAATTCACTTCCTCTCTGAGTCTATTTCCTCCCCTGTGAAGGAGGAAGATGGACATAGTAATCATTAAAAGCTCTTTCTCATTCTAAAATAAAAGGTTACTCAAGCCCAAAGCGATCTGATAAAAAGATTCAAAAATACTATTAGAAAAACAGTTTAGCTTATGCCATGATTTTCCTAAAACAATACCTTAGCCTGCAGCCGGCTCCCGATGGTTGACCTCAAGTGATACATGGAAACTACCACATCTCCCTGCACAGTGATGTTCAAGGGAATGAAGATTTTTCCATCTTGGACACGGTATTCCCTTCAAACAGAGACCAAAATGTACATTTAAAGAGATTCCAACCTGATACAATCACATAGATACAGACACAGGCTTCTAGGCTCTGGCCAAGGGACCTGTTTGCCCAAGACTGGATCCAGAAACTATTT